TGCACTTTGCAGTACGATGACCATTATTGTTTCAGTCTTCTTTCTCTATGTCCTAACATCTTGGTTACTTTTTAATTTGTTACTTCCTTTACAGTCTTTGTGTATGTTGTTCTCTTATAATGTGAGATAATCAAAACCCCTGTAGTTTGTATTGTTATTCGCAGTGCCAGATTTTTTAAGGAACCTAGACCATCCAATCTAAGTTGCCTTGTAGGTATTAACGTTCAAGTCCATATTATTATATTCAAGTATTCCTTTGGATAAAACCAGTAAAACTTAAAACCCTTTTTACATCTGAATAGTTTCACGTACTATATGTGAAGGTATATATATAGAATTATATTTTGGAAAATACTGCTGTGTTTGTGTTATTAACTGAGAGGAAAGTGTGATAGTTCAGACTTGGCTCCCTGCCAAATGCCCAAAAGTCACGGCAGCAGCCCCCTTCCCCCCTCCCTTCTTCCCTTAGGGCAAAATAAAAAAAACTATAAAAAAAATTAAAGAACCCAAAGTCAAGTTACTTATATAAAAATATATATATTTACATATATTACAGTTATACACAGTTAAGATACTATGTACACAGTAAAAGGGAATCCAAACACCCCCCCCGAAGGGATAGGGAAAGGGGAAAAAAGGGACAAAAGGGAACCAAAAGGGACACCAAACAGGTATACGTGATCAAACTCAAGAACTATATTAATAACTAACAAAACAGATCTCACCACGTCCCTTAGAAAAGCAGGATTGGCAGACACAGCCAGCACTCTCCGAACCCCCACGTGTCAGGCCAGCGGTCGCTGCAGGCCTCAGCCTTAGATAAGCGAGACCAACGCAAGGACCTACAGTTCCTGAACCTCGCTGGAAGAGAAGAGAGCGAGGTCTCTAATCTCCAACTTATTTATAGTCTGGTTTACGTAAAAATTGTATAGAATACTGGTACGTGGCCACTTCCTTGGTTATAAACTGGTCACCAGGAAGGCCTAGACCAAAACCATCATGCAAAGTTAAATTAAAAAAACTATAAAACTAACTCTGAGAAGTCCCTGACTGGATGGTGAAGCTGAAATGCATGCTTACTGGCTCCTATGTCTAGCAGGCTGTGGTTGGAATGGGTTATTTGACCTCCTGAAATGCGTAGAAGGAAGGTAGCTGAGCCTTTGAGCTGAAATGCTCATTTATTTATGAAGCCATTTCCTTTTTGTGTATTACCTCTGTTGTGTGCAGTGCTCCCTCAACCTATTTTTTTTGTTCTTATAATTAACTGTCCCGCTGTTGTTACATGTTGCATATGTCTCCTCTTCTACAAGTCTGTCTAGGAGAAGGATTACAAAGGGGCTGGAGAGAGATGACGTATCCCTGCCTAAGCTATTATGTGGCCTGGCCTAAGTCTATTTCTGTCAGTCTTGTCCATTCTTGAGAGAGAACCCAGGAAGTATTGAAGACCATAATTTAGTAGCTATGTACTACATGTGTGTCTTGTGATTGCAGGCTTGTTTCTCATATTTTCTTGCAATTAGCTTACTTTACTCTCTCAACAAAAATTTGCCAGCTGTTCTAGAGGAGAATTTTTCCAGTAGAAGGGTCTTGCCTATGTTGATTCCCCCTCATTTGCTCATGGACTAGTTTAGGAACATGCTTTCAGTTTGTTTTCTCTGAAGAATTAATTTGTTTTTCTTCAAAAACACATCGGAACAGTGTAGAAATGTATTCTTTTATCTTCCATTACTCTGAAGCAATAGCTGATGAAAGTCACTGTTTGTGTGATGTGTTGAAGTTAATGGCTTCTGCTATTTGTATCCCTTCTTGTGTGCTTTCCGGCAACCACTTTTGTGAAAGCTGTCATAATTTTCTTTGTTTCAAAGCATCATCTGAAGTAAAGCTTGCAAAACATGAAAGTATTCAAAAACCCCTATTGGGACGGTGGGGAGGAAATCATAGCCAATTTTACCCTGAAGCTTGGATTCCTCTCAAAGAGAATGTAGTGTTTTTTAAGGAAGAATAGCTGGAGCGGTTTTTTGAGAAGGTGATTACTAGAAGAGAAACTGTAGATTTGCCTATGTGATCTGGTTGTGCGATGAATGCTTTCTCCAGAACTCTGAGTCCAAATGAGGAATTCCAGGCCAAAAACTCTGTTTGAGAAAATGTTGGGTAATTGAAAAGCCTTTTCCATTAGGAAAAAACTTCAACTGTATTGGAGCTTCTTAATTTTAAACTGAAATTTTTACTGAATCAAAAGTTGATATGGAAGTTTACAAGAAGTGTCAGTTAGGTGACAGCACATCTTAGTTATTCTTTCCTCGCTCTGTCCATTTCAGTTCTTTCCAGTATATTTGGGAAAACAAATGCTGTCGCTCTGAACATTCCTCACTTCTTTCAGCTGAGCACAATGCTATAGAGTATGGAATGACCCTGTGGTCTGTTGGGGTCAGCTGGCCTGACTGTGTCCCACTCCAGCTTCTTATGAACCCTCAGTCTCCTTTCTGGTGGAGTGGGGTGAGAAGCAGAAAAGTCCTTGGCTCTGTGTCAGCACTGCTCAGCAATAGCTAAAATATCCTTTTATTACTAACGCTGTTTGCAGCACAAATCTAAAACATAGCCCTATACCATCTACTATGAAGAAAATAGTCAAAGAGGATAGCCAAAACCAGCACATCCCTCTTTCATTGTTTTGTGGCTTCAGAGACAGAAAGTTAATGTTGTGTGTGTGTGTGTATCTTATCCAAGCTGCAGAATACAAAGTCCAAACATGAACATTAGCTGTACCTTTGGTCTTTTGATTGTTCTTTAAGTGTCTTGTAGTAGAATCTTCATCTGTTCATGTTTATGCTCATTAGTTTGATGGCTTGATAACAAACTTGATAACAACTGGCTTGATAATAACCATGAAGGCAGGTCAACTGAAGCAACATTAGGGAAATGCTTCTGTCCTTTTTATCTTTCTGGGCCTCCTCTCAGGCTTCTTTTAAGCATGCCTTTATTGCTGCAGCCTTCAAGAAAGATGTTGGTTGCTCTTGTTCGTGCAGCTGCTTGGGAATCTCCTTCCAGATGGTAGTTATTTGTGGAGTATTCTACTTGGTGTCTTCTGGATGTGAATGAGTATATGAACAACTGCCTAAAGTGAAAGGGAATGGACACTTCAGTAGCTGTACCAGGTTGAACTGGTCCGCACTCAAACATGTTTACAAGACTGAGTTCTTTGTTTCCTCTTTCCCTGAGTTTCTAAAGCTTTTCAGGAGCTTTATGACCATGTGCTTGTGGTTGTACATAGATATGCATACTTGTATGGGTATTGCTAAAACAAAGGCTTATTGGGTTTTCTCTGCATTGCTATATGAATACCTTCAGTGTGAATGGTGGAATGGAAGATATACTTGGGATTGCGGTTAATGGAAAGATACTTCCCTTTTTTGTTACTTGTAAATACTTGCTCTAGGGAACAAAGATACAATTGTATTGTGCAATCATAAATCTCTTTAGCTTGCGCCATGTGTGAATAATGTTTTGGCAGGCAAAACTTTATGAGAAAATGTTACTTTGAGGCTTCTTACTCTCCTGGAATACATACCTAACAATGTTATTCACTTTACTCAGTGAATCTGTGTCAATTCAGTGTCAAATTACATCTTTACCAAGGGATGGAAAAGGAAGACTTTTAACTGCATTGGTTTTTATCCAGCTTCTCAAAGAACTTGCTGTTTCAGAGTTCTGTGTAAATGGAAAGCATTAATTTCACCAGTCATCATACACTGGTGTGTATATACATATACAGTTCGACATTTATTTGGAAATTCCTGTTCATCCACTCCTAAGTATTGCTTGTGGAATCATGATACCCACATGCTCCATTGAATTACACATTACAGTGTATCTAGTAAAATTGTTACTCACTTACCACTTGTCCTTGTTATACTTTGCCTGTTAGCATTCTAAGGGTTTTGGAAATAAGGAGTAGATTAAAATATCTAGATCTTATAAAACGTTTTTCAAGAAATAAACAAGTACTTAAAAGGCATCTACATATTTTTATTTGTAAAAAGCATCCCTCTAGATGGGACAAGTGGATATGGAGAGATGGGTCCTGAATATCACTTAAAAGTCTTTCATTTGCAGTTGAATTAACTATAGGGTGAAATGGCTCTCTTAGACCAGATTGAAGCTTTGTGAAACCAAGATTAACACTCAAGGCATTAGAACTTCGGGTTGAAATATTTGGGGACATACAAGGTTATGGGTTTTGGGAGGTATTGTTTATACTAGAGAGATGTCTTCTTGAATTATGTAAATTAAAAATACTCAAAATTAAGACTTTAGTATTGCATGAGCAGGCTTTAATTTTTAATTAAGATGTAAATATATTGTCTGCAGAGGCACAAGTGTGTAAAAATTTTCAGTTTTGGGAGAGAAAGTTATGTTTTCATTAATCTTTAAAACTAACTCTGGGTCATTTACTGACTTCAGGCAATTGTCATCTCAAAATAAAGTTGCCTTGATCTTGGCAATGAAAGGATATTTGAGCTCCTAAGGCACTGGGAAAATATATTTTTAAAATTCATCTCTAACAAAACAAAAGTACTAAAATGTTGATGATTACTTACCACTACTTCAACACATCTCTGGTTTTCCAGTTTTGTTCTGACTGATGAGCATTTTTTTACTTCAGAATTAAATGTTTCAGGCTGGAAGAAAGCCTGGATGAAGTATGCTTGTTATCTGCAGGTAATAAGATACTTAACAAAAAGATGCTGACAAATCAGACTTATTTGGGTTTATTATGCTTCCATAAGTTTATTATGCTTCCAGTTATGAAATGTGGATGTACTTTTCCAAGACAAGGGAGCACTTCCAAAGAGTTTTTTATTGTTGAATAGAAGCTGTGGTGATATGCTGCCAGTTTATCTCCTTTTTAATTTTTGTCTTTGGTCACCCTGAAACTGTTTGCTGTTGGCAGAATAGTTGCAATTAATTGTATTGTTAATTATGGACTGATTTATTTTCAGATCTCAATAGAGAATGACTATCTAGGCCCCAGAAGAATTGAGAGTCTGCAGAAAGAAGATACCGATTGGCAGAAAAAGGCCCACATGGCTGTGCTTTCTATTCAAGACCTTACAGTCAAATACTTCGAAATAACAGCTAAAACACAGAAAGGTAGTTATGTTCTGCCATCCTATCCATCACATAAAAGATTAAATTATTTAATGTATACCATGTTCTGCATTGTACTGTGAATTATTTTTTTCGTGTATGTTCCATGAGGAAAATGCAGTTATTAACCCTGTTTGTTTTTTTTCTGTGTCTAAATGAATCTTTCATCAGTAAACCTTTTTAGAATATCATTAGAGGTGAGGAGAATAGAAATTTAGATATAAAGTTCTACAACCACTTTCTCAGTGAGATTATATTAGCAGCACTGAATACTTGCAAAGGATTTGGGAAGCATAGATTCTGTTTTCTGTACTGGATATGGGAGCCCCTGGTGGTCTAGTGGTTAAGGGCGCGGCGCTGTCACCGCCGAGGCCCGGGTTCGATTCCCGGTCAGGGACACTCCCGGGCAGATGGAGCTCATTAGCCCTGTAAAAAGGCAACCCACCTACGTCCTAAGGACCTCGCTACCACCGTCCAAGCTTGCTTGGCCCCGGCAGATGAACCTTAGGATTAAAGGGTGGGCTCAGTTCCACGCACACTGTGTCTCACCTAAAAAATCCAATGCGCAGGCTGGAAGGTGTAAAGACCTTCCCCGGATCTTCGCTTGTGAAGAGTGGCCATTATTATTATACTGGATATGACCGACATCTATAGTGAGTGCTTGTTATCTTTCAGTTTATTTCTTTTTTCTGTCTCCCCTGCCTTTCAGTAATTTTTTTCATGGCTCTAAATATTAAGCAACAGCTCAGTTTAGTTACTCAGTTGAAAGCTGCTCTTTTATTTAGAAGTCTTCATTGATATAGCCTTGGTGTTTTTGTGCTTAAATAATGGCGTGGTTTTACTAAGTAGTTGGTGCAGTAAAACCAGGTCATGTGACTTGCCATGTGCATCTGTGCTTTCGTCCTTGTACCATTTTAACTTAAATAAGCAGTTTATCAGGGGAAACATACCTGAGGATGAGGTTTAATGTCACCTTTTTTAGCTGACTGCAGGCACCATTGACAAGAGACTGCTGTCTACCCCTGCCTGACTGCAGATCTCTGTTTCTTTCTTTGCCTTGATTACAGTGATTCTCAATCAGATAAGCAAGCTGTAGGAGAAAACCTTTTTTGACTGGTAGGTTTCCTGTCTTCTCCCTTCATGACTGTGTCAAGAGAAGCAGTCACTGCAAAATTACTCTTTTTGATGGCAACTCAATTTAAGGATAGCATGAAACTTCATCTTAATTTGAAAAAGTGACTAAACTGGTTAAAGCATGTTGAAATTAATGTAATTAGAGCAAATTCTGAATGTATTAATCAACTTCGCTCCTTTTCTAGTATGACAAAGGCAGCAAATAAAACACACTATTAGTTGATAATTCACAAATACTTACTGGTTGTTTTGTTTATGTGCTTTTTTTTTTATATAGCAGTCAGGATTGTGGGAATAAACAGTGAAAAGTGAAATACCTCTGGAGATTGTTTACAGACCTTTAGTATACAGGTTGCTTTCCTGTTTTATGTTTTTCTTGGTCTCCTGCTGATCACAGGATGGCCTTACATACCGAAATACTAACAGATGGCAGAAGAAAAACACATGAGAATGTAAAAGTGTTTCTTGTTACCTAACAGCAGTGTGTAATATCTTCTAGCATGTGGGGACTCAATGCTAAACCTTTGATTCTGTGATTTTTGTGGTTTTTGCTTTGCAGAGCTAAGTGTACAGAATCATGTGGTTGTTCTATATCTTAAAAATGGTAAAAATCTCATGTGCATCAACCTAGAAATAGTGAATCTGAATCAGACAAAGGACTGCTGCATTTCGAGTTAAAAGATGTTATTTCAATTTAATTCAGTATTCTTATAGAATTACTTGAGGTTAAGCTGAGATTTTTGTTTTAAATTGTAATTTTTTTCACTCTACAGATCTATTTAAACTTCTAACTCCACCACAAATGTCATTAAGGAAGGTTACAGAAGTGAGGAAAATTCAGTATGCATTTTAAGAGCACGTAGTAGCATTAATGAGTTTTTTATGAAGTCAAGAATTTTGAACCTGTACCTCAAGTGTTTAGGTACTGTACGTTCATAATGGTCCATCTGTGGATAACAAAGATTGGAATTATAATGATAAAATTATCAACAAATAGCTAATTGCATTTTATGTGAATCCTAAGAGTACCTTCATCCTGGATTTTAACCTTAGTACTCTGTGGAATGACTATTCCCTGCTAAGAGAACTGTGTATGCTTTCAGGTAAAAATGTGTGCATTGTCTCTGGAGTAGAGTCAGTAGTGATCTGGAGAGTAGACAAGTAAGTCACCTGCCTCTTTTTCCCTTCTCTAGCTGTGTATGATCGAATGCGAGCAGATCAGAAAAAATTTGGTAAGGCAGCATGGGCAGCAGCAGTGGAACGTATGGAAAAGCTTCAGTATGCGGTTTCTAAGGAGACTTTGCAATTGATGCGTGCTAAAGAAATCTGTTTGGAGCAGAAGAAACATGCACTGAAAGAGGAGGTAATTTTTCATGACAATAAAGAGAAAATAAAAACAGGCAGGGAAAAAAATGTTAGACAAATGATGTTGCAATGTAGATGTGGTGACTTTTTGTGCTATTTACATATGTTTTCTGTTCACTGTTTCCTTGTTAGTCAGCCAGAAATACTGTTTTTACTGTTAACGATTACAGCTTTCCACTGAGATGAGTGAAATGAAGAGAAGGGATAGGACAGAAATGTGCTGCTACATAGTCTTCACAGTTTAGCTCTCTGAGGTATGACCACCTTTTTGGAATAGTTCTGACATTCCAGATGGAAGGTGTTTGAACATTACTAAATATACAAATGACTAGCTGGTTGTGCTGCACTCACTTTCTCTGCTTATCCTGATTATTAAAGTCTTCTAAGGAAAGAGTGCATGCATGAAACTTAACAGAAAAAAATTCACATTTTTTGGGTTTTATGGCACTTCCTCAAAAGCAAAAATGTTACAAATCCTCTTTTTAAACTTTCCTATCAAATGGATATTTGGTGCTAAGAACTTCCTGTCACACTAATGTTAATGTGCATTCTGTTGAATCAGTTGCTTGTTTTAAGAGAACTTTACAAATGTTTCAGCAAAATTTGACTAAAACAGTGCCTATGTTACGAAAAGGTTATCCAGAGAACTCAAAACTTTAGCACTACATAGGCTGGTGGTTTTGTAAGCCTGATAGACTCTGTGCCTATTTTAGGAGCCTCTGCAGAAGAAAGCTTGATCTGCAAGGAAGAGAGAGTACATGCAAGACCTAGAGCACAAAAATAAGTTTACTGCATTTCAATGCTCTTTAGATTTAGAAATCAAGAGGTGTCTGGAAACCTGAATTTGTCAGGTTGTTATCATCCTTAGCCAAGAGCTGATGAGACAATCAAGCAGTACTAATTGGACATAAGATATTGAATATGTTCACGTATTTAGAGTAACCACGCATCATGTTTTCTGTAGTTCATCTAATTTTTCTCCTAGTGTAGACTTTCTGTGAATTTTTGTTGAATGAGGTCTCACTCTGGTAAGTGGGTACTGTTTTGAAATGCAAAAGCATTAGAAGCTGCGTAGGAGACAGAGAAACAAGGAACATGATGGACATGGTGCTTTCGGATGGTGTATTACGAGGCATAGAGAGCTCTAGGTCTAAACATGGTGATAGGGAGATATGAGGACCAGCTTCTGGTCTGAAACATCATCTTTTATTTTGAAAATGTAAAAGTATACAGAGCTGAATGGGAAAAAGTGGCTGGGAATACCATCTTGGGGAAGAAGAGTTGCAGTCTTGTAAAGAAAATATTTGTAGAACTGAAATACCTTCTCTGGCAAACCATTTAGCTGCTATATTCCAGAAGATAAAACCAGGATATTCCTTTAAAAATACTAAAATGCTCAAAAAACTAATATATCTGGATTTGAGCTAAGAAAGAATGACAATTCGAAACCAGGATCAGATCTGACAGGTTATAAGGAACACTGATGATGTATTATGTAGCTAGGTAATCTGTCCAGGAGCCATACAGTAGTAATATCCCATTTCTGTTGCACCTGAAATTTGAATATAGTGGTGTTGTACCCCTAAAACAGACAGCATCTGTAATGTATGCTGTATACAGGACTTAGATACTATTGTCAGCTCCTTTATCAGCCAGACACTAGCACAACTGAATGAAATAGCTGCTGTAACTTGATCAACTGGTACTTTTGAAGATGGTCTGTTCACATCTTTGTCTCTGTTCCGTATTTATAAAAAGACTGTGGATTTAAATTTGGGAACATCTTTTTTTTAAGGAAAAAAATGTGAAAGTTTGAGTCAATTTCACAGTTCACTGACAAACCGTAATTCTTAGGTGTGGTCAAGTTTGAATGACATTGCCTTAGTTTAAAAACCAAACAAACACGTCCCACCTCCCCCACCTCGAAACCCACCAAATTTTTTTGCATTTTTACAGCCTTAAAACCCATGAAAAATGCTGAAATGCCAATACCCTGCCTGAACAATGAACATTATCCCTCTTATATGCAGAACTTGGGGAGTTCAAGAGAATCAGGCTGCTTGAAAAGCATCCTCTAATTCACTCCAAATACACTATCATTGTGTCATTTACTGTTCTACTAACAATTAGTAACTTAATATGGATGCAGAGTAATGAAGTGGCATTGCAAGACATTTTGTGTAACACTAGACTAAGATATACACGTAAAACATGATTGTTGGATTTATGGTATTCACTTAAGAGCTTACTGAGCTTTTCAGACTAAATGATATGCAAAAGGTACATTTAGTAAATACACAATATAGTAGAAGAAACTTTTAAAATAGAAGTTACAAGAATTGATTCACAGGTCTTCTGTCTAGTAGTGTTACAGGGAAATAAGCATAGTCTATGAAACTGTTTGTGTTTAACTGAGCTGTGAAATCCCTGTCAATAGATAATGATGCAGGTGCTAAAAGGCACATGCCTAAAAAAAGGGGGTTGGACAAATTTATTAATTAAATCCAGTAAGTCTATTTTGTTTAAAAGGCAGCACCATGGCTTAAGCTGTGCTGCAAGCCATGCTAAAGGCTGGTGAAACATTTTAAGGAAGTATGTTTGTATGGCCTAACATGTTTCATTTTCTTGGATATTTGCAGTTAGTCTTTTTCTGAAACAGGGTATTGAGTAAAATGGGTCGTTGGTTTAACTCAGTACAGACATCTTTTTAGTTTAGTATAAGTTGTATTTAAACATGTGATAAATAAAACTGTTGGAACCCATTTGTGGCTATTCATTGCAGGTATAGTTTTACACCTTGGAGGAACCACCATAATGTAAAAACATACTAGCAAATATATTTAAAATGTTCGCTGTGTCCTGTATTTTTACTAGGTAGACATCTCTTCATAATGATTGAATGTTTGCAATATGAAACAGGACATCCATTATCTGAGGAAAAACTATCAGATACTCATTTTTTGAGCAGGTAGAGAACTTGGATGTGGCCCTAATTCTTCTGCATGTAGGTTGTAGAGCTGCATGAATTCCCTCCAAAGTGAGACAGCACTTAAGATCCTCTTACATGTTGGTATTTCTTAAATATGGTCTGAATAGCTAACTGTATTGAGTAATTAAATCTTGTTTGACTGTATGAAAGAGAATGATTGCAATTCACTTTGTTTGTGTCACTTTACTGTGTCAAACATATAACACAAATAAGTACTAAAACGTAAATATTTGATCTGTGTATTTATTCTCCTTTGAAGGACTCCAGAAACAATGACACTCCTCAGTTTAAGTTGTCTTTACAGGAGGATCGGTACATATATTTATTCCCATTACCACAACCTTTCACATTTTTTCCTCGGTTCAGCTTTAATGACAGTTTTTACTGTACCTTTCTAGATGCCAATAGCAAGATAACTTTTAGACTTTTTGGATTGATGGTAATAAAATTTTAATTTCATTATGTATTTTCGAAGACTCAGGTAATAGAGTAAAACAGTGTGAGGGATCTTTCACACAATGCAGTGTATGACTTGTCACTTTGACAGTCACAAAGTGTAATACAGTGCCATGGATTTTTTTTCATTGCCATATCAAAAGAAATGTCAGATAATTAAGATGTCTTGAAGTGTGTGGTTCTAACATTTTAACATGTTACATTTAGTGTACCAAACAGTATTTAGCTGTAATGGTAAATTCTGTGGCTTTGTTCACCTTATTATCCTGGAGTTGTATGTTTTTTGTTTGGTTGGTTGTTTTTTTCTGTTTTCATTTAGATGCAGAGCCTGAAAGGTGGTACAGAAGCCTTAGCCCATTTGGACCAATTGGAAGCTGATTATTATGATCTACAGCTTCAGTTATATGAAGTGCAGTTTGAGATCTTGAAATGTGAAGAGCTGCTGCTGACAGCACAACTCGAAAGCATCAGAAGACTGATGTCAGGTGCTTTATTTCTTTTCATTAATACATAATCCGTGAAAGATAATTTTCTTCCTAAGAGTCTACTTAAGCCTGTGAATGAAATGAGAACAAATTCGTTGCCATGTGAAGAGCTGCATCTTCTAACATAGGTACTGTTAAATTAAAATTTACACCTGCTCATAAGGCATTGTGCATACACATACAGAAGTTTTGGTATGGTTGCCATTGCCTGTGTTTGAAACTAAGCATATAGGATACTGTATTAAGTTTTGAAAACCTAAATTCGGGGAAGAGGAATTAACTTAATTAGTGGACTTGTCTAACTAAAAATGTGCATTGGTATTACTAATTTCTTGGAAATGATTGGTTTTCCAAAGGTATTTCTGCAAATGGGAGTCCCTCTGCTAAATAACCTTGTATTGCTATCTCAGAGCAGTAATGCAAACCTTATGGTTGCTGAACCAAGTATATCTCATGTACTTTAAAACTATGGAAATGGTACAGGTAAATCTCACAGCATTTTTTAATCCAGTTCTAGCCTTTAGACACTTCTTTGTTTGATGTTTGTAAGAGATTTGAAGCTGGATTTTACTGTGAGTTGCCTCTGGAAAAGGAGAAAACACAGGTATCATGGATTTTTCTCAGTGTTACATGTATCTTGTCCTTTAAGGCTTGTGATGGAAACAACTTTTAACTGCAAGTATGTAAAATGAGGATTGGAAACTCTGTAAATGACTTACAGATATGTGGCAGCTTTGACTGGGTGGTTCTGTGAAGAGCTAGTTGGTGCTTTTGAGATAAATAGATTTGTATGTGGGAAATCAGGCATGTACTGAAGACGTGATATGCTCTGTGTACTTACAGACTGAAAAAAATCCCCTGAATTGGAGACTGAGAAGGAAAGTGTATCAAAATCCTTTGTCTTTGATGTAGTGATAGTAAAACCTATAGGCCCTCAGAGATTAAACCTTAGACCTTCATAGGTCATTCTGACTTGTCAGTAATGTTTTCTCCAGAAATCTCAAAAAAGCCCCTAGCTCACAACCTGGTCCAAAATAAAACAAAATCCTTAATCAGCTGAACAACCACCTTGCTCCTTCCGTCATGTCAGCAAAATAGTTCATTGTTCTGGTTTCCTTTGCTGTTTTGAATTTTAGAAATATTGTTTAATAAGTCCAAAACTATCCCATAGGACCGACAGTGAAAAGTACAGTTCTTAAATAAGTGGGGTTTGTTCAAAGGATGAAATTTCCTCTTCAGACTTTACCTACGTGAACAGAACAATTAATGTGAAGAATAATGTTATGCTGAATATGCTGGCTACATATGTTTGAGACTGTTCAACACCAAATCTGAATTAAAACATCTAAAACATGCAGTGGTCTTTTAATACGTGTTGTTTCCTATGATGTCAAAAGAAGAGCATGGTCTGTTTCGCCTTCTGTTACACTTTATTTTTAAAGTGTACTGACAGTAAAGTAATATGGTTTTGATTTTGCACATCTGTATGATTTGAAATTCGTGTGTATAAGCCATGTAGAGGCTGTTGCTTTCCTTTTGTCTTTGACTGTATTGTCACTGCAGAGATAGTTCAGAGATCTCTCAAAAGAATGTTTTAAGAGTGTGATTTCAATTGACTGCTAGTTGGTTCAAAGCTAGAAGAAAAACACCTTTGCAAATTCAGCACATTGGATCTGATAAGTATCAAGGGATAATAGATTGTCATATTATGAACAACAGTAGTGATTTTTACTGTCATTAATCAAATACCTTCATTGAAATTCACAAGGTGGGACTTTACTAGGTTAGAAGTTATATCTTATCCATGCGAACTATTAGTACATTCTTGTTAAAATGGTTTCATGGTGGATAAACGTGTATTTCCATCTTTAACTCTGCATGAAAGTGTCCTCAACCAAAATTTTCATGTAAATTCTCCTATTTTATAAGTGCATGATAAAATATAATCATTAGTCATGAATCTTGTTTTTACTTGGTGATACTTTAAAGGGAGTTTTAGTGACTTGGCACTTTTACATATTGATGAAAACTTTATGGTAGTTTTATTTCTTAGACTGAGCACAAAAGTAAAGAATCTATTGGTATGTTTTTACTAGTTTGTATTTTAAGATTATTATATTACTATACTTTCTTCTCTGTCCCTGCTGTGACTTCTACTGAGCTGAAAGTAGCATGACTAATAATTTTGGTTGCAGCAGAGACTGTTCACACAAATAACATGAAATGACAACAGCTTTTAAAATGGACAGTGTAACACTGCCCATCCCCAAACAATATAGTAGCTGAAGTAGGAGACATTACAGTCTTGCTGAAAGTAGTTGATGAAGTTGAAATAAAAAAGTTTGGTGGTGCTGTGAAATACACTTGACAGTCATGCCAACTGCATCTACCTGTTTCAGACAGCACTGTCATGCATATCCCTCTTGCTGTATTACAAATATATCCTACTTCATATGCCAGTGAAGTAAAGAACAGGAGGTCTTTGCTGCTTCTTCATCCCAACATTCTGCAAGGATTTATAATCATCACTCTTTCTTTCTTGGCAAGAGATGAGAAGACAGCATTCAAAGATGAGCTGAGTGTTATTCTGAATGCTTCACTCAGGAGGCTAAAAATCATGAGTGTTGATAAAACTATTAGTAATTACCTCCTTGCCAGGCCTGCAATGCTTTGAAGGATTGCCTTGAAGTTTCTTCCCTTCTTCCCAGAAGCAGTGATGGGGACATCAAAAACCTAAGAGAGAATTTTTAGTGTCTTGTTGTCTGATTCCCCTTACACGAAATTAACAGTTGGTTATAAACAGAGGAATCTCACGCCAGAGAATTCAGAAAGAGTCTGTCTATCCTGAACTTTGTGGTGAAGACAGAGGAAATAAGTGCGCATCATGGGTCCCTTGTGTTAGTCAGGAGACCCAACGTTATGCATGGGCATTTTGTTTTAGGCTACAGATGACAAGTGTACACTTAGAGCTGTATTTGTGTTTTAATGCTTTGAGCTTGCCTGAATAGCAGGTTGACCTGCATTGGTATTAATTTCTGTTCCTCATACAAACTTTGAAGCCCTACAGTGCTTTGCTGTTTAGTGCTTCTCCTCTTGATTTTTGATCGTCCTTTGAAGGAGCTGTAGCCTTCTTTTGCAACTCAGTGAGAGAGTGGTCATTGAGCAGAATGAAAGATTAATCAAATACCAACTGTTGATTTTATTTTTTTTTTCATTGCTGACATCTTTAAAACAGAGAAAAGAGATGAAGTGGTGTATTATGACACTTATGAAAGTATGGAAGCCATGCTTGAAAAAGAGGATATGGCAACATCTATACACTTGCAAAAAGAGGAGCTACAAAAGTTACAACAAAAAATCCGCCAGCTGGAAGCAAGGCGTGGACGTATTTCAGCCAAGAAAGCCTACCTCAGAAATAAGAAGGTATTATTTAATTACCTTTTTTAAAACATAGCAAATTTAATAAAAACTTCAAAAGATTTCATTTCAGATGCAACTTCCAAGTCTTCCAGAATTTTTGTGGATTATATTTATTTACTCCTTACTGAAAGTTGTTTTACAGAATACCAAATACAATAGCATGTATTATTAAATTGATGCATTTAAGATTCAGTTTACCTTCTTCTAGCTTTAAAGGAACCTTTGAATACTTTGGAGTCAACAAATAAACTTGTTTCTATTAACTAATTAGAATACTTTCATATGGGAAGTACATGCTATAATGCATGTTTTTACAGAGAGTAGTTTTATATCCATTTGCAGAAGAGAATTCTTGTGGGTGTTTTCTCACTAGCGTCTTCTATTTTCATTCATGTGCCTCAACCTTTTAAACTTAGGTCGTGTGTCTTTGATACTCTGTATTCAGCAGATATATATGAAATACAGTCTATATTCTTGTAAATCTAGCTATGCTATTTAGATGACAGTTTTGAGAAAACATTGTGATACTTATTAGCAAATAGGCTCCACCCCATGCTTGTAATATAAGGCTAATGTCGGGTGAGGCCTCATTCTGGATTGGGATCGGTGGTTGGTTTTGGTTTTGTGTTCCCAGTCATGTCCCTTTATGTGGAAAACGACCCCTTTAGATAAAGAGTTCTAGCGGATTGAGGGTGAAGTGCTCAGGTCTTGCCTCCCCTTCATAACTAAAATATCTATTTCTGTACCTAAATCTGAAGCATAAAAGAGCAATGAAACAGTAGTTGATACATTTTATATTTTGGATCTTTCGTATTTCTACAGTCACTGTCCTGTCTGTGATTAACTAAATATGGAGAAGGCTGCAAATAAAGTATTAAAAGAAGGGTCTCTTGTTAGCCAGTTATGGGAAGTAGTTTGTTCAGAGTCATTATGTTTGTTTTACTTGAGTTGGTAAAAAGAAAAAGTATCAAGAAGCTGGACTTTTTAGTATTTTAAAGAGTAGAACCTATCTTTTGTATTATACTAATTTGCATAGGTTATATTATACTGTGATACTTTCTCTTGAATATGAAAAGACATTGCTGACATCTTACAAAGCAGACAAATCTGTTTAAAAATGATGGCCTGGTCACTCTTCCTTACCTAACTTACTGGAGTTAACAGGTCAAGAGGCAAACCTGAAGCAGGAGTAAAGATTTCTTAGCATGCCTATTTATGTGTATCATGAAGTAGTCACTTTCAGTGGCTCATTTGCGTCAAGGTTATGCTATGATAAAATGCCCTGCTTAAGCTGAAGGAGTTAGTTTTTGGCTGTAGCAGTAGTTGTAGCGTGTCTGCTTCTGCACTGTGACAAGAGGCAAAGTTGTATATACTAGTGTTGCTTGTCTGTGCCAGAGTGCAGGAGTGATATGGTTATGTCTGCCCAACGTTGTGCTGGAAGAATGGGGTTATACAGCTTTCAGTACCTGAGGAAATGCCTCCATGTGGAACTTGATGGCTGGACATCACAGCTCTCTCAGAACTACCTCCAGCTCTCTTACTGATCTAATTGCCCAGCATAGCAGTATCTGCGTGTAGTGCTGCAGTGACATACTTAGCTTTCAGCTTCTGAAGAAATGACACATTAGAATAACATGTATAAACTTGTAGGGGAAAAGCAAAGATCTTTATTTGAGCAAAAAGAAAAGGCAGAATCTCTTGTTGTGTGCTGTTGTGTGACACTGGTTGGGCACAAAAGAACATAGCCGTTTGGTAGCTGCTTTTCTTACTGCTGAATAACGCAGAGCCCTACTACGCTTACTGGCAGTTATTGGAAAATCAAGACTCATGGCTTTGACTCATCATAAAAAAGCTTTGTATTTTCAGAGACCATTCTAGGGATACTGCAAAACATTGTTGTTGAACACTGTTTGAGATGCCTGTTGTGAGTAGTTGGGAGGCAAAAAGGATTCTCACTCCGAAGTGTTTGCAGTTTAAGCATGCAAAACTAAGATACAGATGGGATAGAAAAGCAGATTCTGGGTGGTGAGAATGAGGGCAGTGATGACTGAATGCCATGTGAACAAAAGTGACTTTTTGATCAATACAGAAAATACTGTGTGGTAAATCTCTGTCTGTCTCAATTCAGAAACATTTGTTGTTGAACTGAGATGAGTCTTCTTAATGCGTTTCAGGTGGTGTTCCTGACCATGCTTGTTTCAGCAAATTATCTTGAAACAGACTTGTAAACAGGTGTTCTGTTTTGAATTGAGTTGGTGAGATTTTGGTTTTGTTTTTTTTCCTCTCCTTTTTCTCCTTTTTTTTTTTTTTTTTTTAGCCTTGTTAGTTCTGTAGTTGAAAACAAAAAGAAAGTTGTGCATTAAGTGGTGTATATCACAGTCTTGTGATATATTTAGAAATTACAGTCCTTGCTCAATATTAGATTTTTGGCAACTGAAGATGCCTTCAGGAGAATGTCTTCTTTCTAGCAGCAGATATCAGGACAAAGGAAACAATAGGAAATTATCATCAGTTTTATTTTTTCAGGGGAGGTCATTTCATCATCCAGGTATTTGAAAATCTTTTCTACTGAGGAGAACATACAGTGAAAGGAAATAATTTACTCTGTGTAGAGTAAAATTATATGTAATTTAAATATAAACTTGCATGACTATAGTCTCTATTCATTTTGTTTTTGCAGGTGAGGCATTTATTTTTCAGTGATGTCAAATAATTGTACTAAACCTTTATTTAGAAGCTTTGCTAACAGTTGTTTATCAAAAACATTTTTCATTTGTGACTCTGAATAACTGAACCAGCATTTTTAAAATTCATGGTTTTACAGAGGTTGATGGTTTTTTCACTGTACTACCATGAGTATAAGCTCTTTATTCTCATATTTTTTAATACAATGTGCATAAGTATTTGCATTTGTTAAGCAATCATTTCCTGATGTTCCTTTGTGTTGATGACAGTAAGTTATTAAAAAATAAATTTTTTATAGTAGCACCACTTTTATTTACTGAAAGCTAGCTTTAGATTTTTCATGCAGGATATTGCTATTGTTATGCCAGTCTACCCCCTGCTGGCTGCACATTAGTATTAATTAAATTATCATATGAAAAAAAGCTGCTGATTTATTAGGGAGCTAGATTTATAGCAAACAGGTGAGGTGAAAAAAATGGTGTAGAAGATATCTAGAAAAATATCTGTGGAAAAATAGAGTTGTGATGGAATGGAACTATTTTGCACCCAGGAAGAGTGTTCCTTATCACAGGTAGACTGGGAGAAGCAACTGGTTGGTGCAGTTGTTTGAGATGTGTTCATAACATGTGCTTTGATCTAGGAAGCTTCCTCACATGCTGTTGTATTCATTTAATAGGACACCTTTATTACTTGGCAAGCCCAAAGTTTAAAGCATAGCCCATGCCAAAATAGGTGTTATGTAGATGTAGTGACAGCTGGCATAGAATTACTTGGTCTGCTATTATTATTAGTACAACAACAGCAACGAGCATAACTACTCAGAATAGAGCTTATCACAGAATCACAGAATATGCTGAGTTGGAAGGATCATCCAGTCCAACCCTTAGCCATGCACAGGACCATCCCCAGGAGCCACATCATGGCCTAAGAGTATGGTCCAAATGCTTCTTGAATTCTGTCAGGCTTAGTGCTGTGACCACTTTCCCTGGGAAGCGTGTTCCAGTGCCCAACCACCCTCTGGGTGAAGAATCTTTTTATCCAACCTAAACCTCCCCTGACACAACTTCAGGTCATTCCTTTGGGTCCTGTTCCTGGTCACAGCAGAAAAGAGATCAGTGTCTGTCACTCCTCTTCCCCTCATGAAGTTGTAACTGCAGTGAGGTCTCCCCTCAGTTTCTTCTTCTCCAGGCTGAACAGACCAGTGAAGGGACCTCAGCTGCTCCTCATCTGACTTTCCCTTGGGCCCTTCACCATCTTTGTTGCCCTCCTTTGGGTGCTGTCTAATAGCTTAAAATAGTAAAATATGGTTTCAGCACATGAAAAGCTCGCCTTTTAATTGGGATGGTTTTTAATCTGAAAGCAAGGTTCACTGAAACTAGTTAAATACAACACTAATGCAGATCTCTTTTACTTATACTACATGTTACTAGTCTTAAACATTGTAGTTCATCCGGTGATAAGGGTTGAAATGATTCCTCAGCTCTCCCTTTTTTTCTCTTTAATAAAGAGAAATTGAAGTATAGTTTGATACTGTGAAATCAGTCAGGTGATTAAAAGAGAAATGAGCATTATTTTTTGTTGCTTTCTCAGTTCCATACAGTTTATCAATGTATTTCTTAAGGTGTACTCTCACTGGACATTTCTTGGGGAGGTGGTAGAGTCACCATCCGTTGAGGTGTTCAAGAGGCATCTGGATCTGGCACTGGGTGATGGTTTAGTGGTGTAGGGGTTACAGTGACAGTGCTGGGTAGATGGTTGGACTGGATGATCCTGTACATCTCTTCCAACCTTGATGATTCCATGATAATGCTCCTGCTTCCCAGTGCTGAGAAGGAAGGACTATTTCACATGTGCAGCAGGCTGTATTCCTGCTCATACACCCAGTTATGATGGTTTTGGGTTTTTTCTGCCAGAGTTTATTGGTTTATGTTCAACTTGTCAACTGCCATAATAATCCAGATAATTTTCTTAATACTGCCATCTGGGAGCTTTTTATTTCATCCTTTGTTTGCAGTCACTTAATCTTGTCTACAAGTAGAACCCTGCATTTGTCCCTATGAAATGGCAACCTTTCTTTTTTTTTCTGAGGCCATTTCTGCAATTAGCTGAGATGATTCAGATTGCTAATCCTGTCCTGCAACATGTTTCCAGCCCCTCTTAGTATTTTTATTATTTCATGTCATAGAGATCTAATTTCATCAAAGTACGTTGTTTATTAATACAAAGTCAGCACCAAATACATTTTGGTCAGGTTTATCCTCTTTACATATTTAAAACATCTCTTATTATTGTACACAATCAAAAAGCTTTAAATACTGATGCTGAAAACACCACATAAATTGTACCCCTCAAGTATTTGAGACATATCAGAAAACACAAACTTAACTTATATTTTCTCATTATTTTATAATATATAAAACCTAAATAGAGAATAAAGTATAAATATAAATCAGTAGTAGCATTACAAAAAGTCATTCTGATTCTCTTGGTATGATGAAGCTATTGCTGTGTCTCTGAAATGCAGAGATGAGGTATTTTGTACTTTTGCAGCTACAAATTGAATGGATTAAGTTTTCCAGCAGTAACTCTTTTCACCGGGAAAAAAACCAAACCTAAACAAAAAGAAACAAACCTAAAACCCACCAGTGTTTAACTATAGATATATATATGGACATGTTAAGAGTGAGTTCAGAGTAGATCCATGAATATTACAGGAAGGTTGGAGCACCTCTCCTTTGAGGACAGGCTGAGGCAGTTGGTGATGTTCAGCCTGGAGAAGGCTGTGGGGACCAGCACCTCAGTGCAACCTTCCAGTACTTAAAGGGAGCTTATGAAAAAGAGTGACTTTTTACTTGGGCAGATAGCTTACGTGGACAAGGGGGGATAGTTTTAAACTGGAGGAATAGTTTTAAACTAGAAGAGATTTAGATAGCTGTTAGAAAAAAAATTCTTTACTGTAGGGTGATGAGACACTGGAACAGGTTGCCCAGAGAAGTTGTGGATGCCCCATCCCTGGAAGTGTTCAAGGCCAGATTGGATGGGATCTTGAGCAACCTGATACAGTGAAAGGTTCCCTGACTGTGGCAGGGAGGTTGTAACTAGGTGAGATTTAAGATCCCCTTCCATCCAAGCTGTTCTGTGGTATACCTCTGATGAAGGTGGGACGGTATTTCCACAGAAAACTTTGCTTTTGTTGATTACCTGTTTTCAGGAGCAGCATTGACAGTCTTCCTGTTCAGAATAATTTAAGACCACATGCTATTCCTTTTCCATACAGGAACACTGACTACCTTTTTATGTGATCATAGCATGCCCATGGTCAGCTTGTAGGAGAACATAGCTTTTTCTTCATTTTTAAGTGTCCAAAACAGTGAAGGTTTATTTCTTCAGTCCCTATTTTTGTGCTTTTTGCTGCAACTGTAGTGCCTTGATTGGTGGCTGGTAAATTTGTCAGCTCCTTTCATGCAATGCTTGCAGTGGCAAAGCTCTTTTCTGGATCTACCCAGTAGGTCACACTGACTGATGGCTGGGAAGCCAATCTCTTTCATATTCTAGCTGGAGTCACACTCCAGACTTCTCCCTACACTGCACCTTCTCAGACAACTGAGATTTGTTTATTAGTGTACATCTGACTTTGTTCTAATTCTGTGTGGTGCTTATACTAGGTCTAATATCATTGTTCCTGTCTGATTTCCTGGCCCTCAGTGTTGTCCTATAAAGTTGTCTATCTACCTGCTGTTTGACTGTCATCCTGTTCCTTGCTGGCTGTTAAAATATGGCCTGGTTTTTTATTTTGTTTTGTTTTGTTTTTTCTTTTTAATCTGTTCTTATTTACAGACAATTTACATTTAAACAGATGTTAGAGATGTGAACTCAGGTTATTAAGTGGATGTGATGAAATTTGGACAGCTTTATTCATGTTTGTGCTTGCCGATTGTACATGCAAAAGATGAACTGACACCTGTAAATGGGAAGCTCTCTATTTGCGTAAATATTAATATGTGGTGTAGTCAAGAGTTAGCTATTATCCATGTGTGAAAATACATGGAGTTAAACAAGGACTTTGTGAAGTATCAACAAACTGGTGTTTGCCACTTTTGTACTAGTATTGTAGAACAGACTTTTCAACCATCTGTCAATTGTATATATTCTTTCAACAGTGGTAGTAGGTTTGGGTTTGTCTTGGTTTTGTTTCACTTAGGGTTTAATGTAAGTTAACTTGTCTGAGATAGGCTTTGTAGCTTTTATTTTTCTAGGTGCTATTTGCTAAATGTGACATTATACTCTGTATATCTATATGTGAAATACATATTTTATAGGTAATATTTTGTCATCCCTACAGGAGATCTGTATTGCGAAGCATAATGAAAAGATCCAGCAGCGTCACCAGAGTGAGGAGGAGTACAAAATCCACCATACTGTTCAGCTAGTAAGTTTGAATTTTCTGCTGTTGAGTTTAGCCTGTCATTAATAGCATTGGGGAGCCCCTGGTGGTCTAGTGGTTAAGGGTGCGGCGCTGTCACCGCCGAGACCCGGGTTTGATTCCTGGTCAGGGACACTCTCCGGGCAGATGGAGCTCGTTAACCCTGTGAAAAGGTAATCCATCTACGTCCTGAGGACCTCACTGCCACCGTCCAAGCTCGCTTGGCCCCGGCAGATGAACCTTAGGATTAAAGGGTGGGCTCAGTTCCGCGCACACTGTGTCTCACCTAAAAAATCCAATGCGCAGGCTGGAAGGTGTAAAGACCTTCCCCGGATCTTCGCTCGCGAAGACTGGCCATTATAATAGTGTGCATTCCTCATTATACCTTTATTAGGAGAGCATTCAGAGTGATAGCTCTTTTAAAAAGATGATGTGTATCCCTGACCTTTGCACCATGGATTTCTATGTCATATATGCTGGTAAGAGGAGTATATATCTGTGTTAGGATGACACTGGAACCAAGCAAGTAAAATCCTTTAATGCTAAGTACAGTCTAGGATAAGCTGCATGTAGTTTGTTATCACATACACTTGGATGATTCTGGACAGCTCTGAGTACAGTGTCAGGCAGCTGATATGAGTAAGGAAATTATACACATTTATTCTGAAATCTTAATAAACTTGTTCGTTATTTTTCTTCTTTCTACGCAAGAAATTACTTGAATTATGTTGTATTTGGTTCCAGCTGTATGCTCTACGATTCTCTGCATAGTCTCATCGCAGAGGGTGGGCTCACTAAAGTAACCCTCATGCTGAACATAGTAGACTTTATCTTAAAGAATATTCTAATTCTGGGCTTGGTCTTGGGAGCTGATATGGTATCAATATTTAATAAAGATCACTGACAAAGATGCATTGAAATCCAAGTCTCTTTAATTCAGGGTTCAGTTGGATTAGTGAAAGCGATTCTGTTTCATCCTTATACATTTTTAACATTGATACATTTGTCCAGAAAGTCATCTGCATAATTTATGTTACGGAAAGACTACTTGTCAAAGACCGTATGTATTGGAATACTCTTTGAGGAACTTAAAATATTTTTTTTTTCAGTTCTTACAATAAGGCAAAGAAATTTGCTGTGCAGATTGTAGTCCATTTATTAAAAATAAGACTTAATAAAGCCAAAGGACTTTCTTGTCTCTCAGATACTACAGAGGTTTAAATTATGGAGTTGCCTGCTTGTGTTATGTAAAGAACCTTATGCTGATTTTTAGGGTTTGTGCAGGGCTTTTCTGTTAATAATGTGACAAAATTGTAAAATAGGCTTTAAGTCACTGGTTTTCATAAAGAATTTTGAAAAGATAACCTCAAGGGAGTCCAGATTTGAAACCAAGTTAGAATTGCAATTTCACAATTTTATTTAAAAGCCAAACAAAAAGAAATAAACAAAAACCCCCAAACAAAATAAAAAACCCCTGGAGTTTGCAACTACTTTAGGAAGTTTAATCTGAATGCAGCCTTTAATCAGGTACGATGATAGAACTCCTCTTTCTTCTTGATATAAATTTCCTTTATGCTTCTGTTTTAACTTCTTTGTCCTATTGCTCTGTTATTTTCTTTTTACTACGTGCTTCTTTTCCTCTTTACCTTTTCTTGTTTCCCGTCCTTACTATTTTTCAGACATGTTCTCCTCTTTCTCTCCCTAGTGCATCTATACTTAGTTCCTTATAAATCACTGGAGTTGGCTCTTTATGAAGGACACCAGGTCACTGACTTGAGTTGTGAAAATGTCAGGCAGGCAGACATGGCTTTTGACTGAATGACAATAAAAAGTTCACAGAAGTGGTCATAATTTTTAGTTACGAAGATGTGCATTTAAAAGCAATACTAAATACTGTGAGACATTTAAGAATTTAAGTTGCAGGGTTTGTTCAGGGTTTTTTCTTTATATCTGTTATATCACTTTTCCTGATAGCTTCCAAACTTCCATGCAGTGAATTTCACTATCTGTTAACTAGCTTCCATGTCCAGTAAATTTGACTGAGGAGTTAGTGTTTTTTTCAAAGGCGTAGTAAATTTGATGAAGTTTTGTGAGAAAGGATGACTTGTTAAAGGAGATGGATCCAAAGGTGTGTTTTCAGTGAGGTAAGATCCCCTCCACCAAAAAACCCACAACTGTCTTAGCTGCAAGGAAGAGCTTCAAACTTTTACTTAAGTAGAGTTACATTAATTCAATCTGCATTAAATAATGACAGCTTAAGTTAATACAAAACTTAGATTTACTGTTGTAAATGTAAATGTGAAAACATCTACCTTATTTACTCAGTATTGGATTAAAAACCTTGTGATACTGAGTTTGGTGATTTTTCGTACTATAAAAATAGTAACTGACTCATTTAAAAGGTCAGCCTTGCAATTTGGACTGTCCTTTTGTTCTTGAAATGAGGGAAAATGGATACTGATTTGCTGTGTGACTAATTTAAACAATTTTTAATTCAAGGAAGTTTCTCTCAGCATAGCATTCTGTTGCTTAGTCCAAGTATTTCTCATCTCTCAAGGCAGCAAGTCTTCTAGGTGTTCCCATTGGAGATTGAAAAATTTCTTTCCTGACCTTCATGAAACAGGAAATGTATGTTGCTTTTTAAGAGGAAGACAAAGGCCAAATTTTGAACTTTGGAAATACGTTTATTTGAAAAGTAGCCTTTTAAGTAATTCTTGACATTTAGTAGAAGAGTGACTTTAATTAATTTTTTTAATGATGCCAAATAGAGTATTGGATGTAATATTTGCATGTTTTCTGTGTATTTTCTCAGAAGAGAGATCAGTTGCAAGATGAAGAGGAAAGAAAGAGCTCCTGGGTTAGTGAAGAACGACAGAAAACACTGGACAGACTTCGTTCATTTAAGCAGGTAACAGAACAAGTGGTGTTTTTTTCTGCCAGTTTCCTTTGCAAAAGAAGCTTTCACTAATTCCAGAAATATACTATGCTTCATTGTGCAGTTAATTGTTCTTTGGAAAATTCATAACAAAATATGGCATTGGGGATAACAGATTCCTCTGACTGTTGCGTTCCCAGTGCCATAATAAACTTCTATTCACTCTTACACCTGCACCTGGTGACAAGACACTCAGCAAATGTTCCTAGAAAAAGTGTAATCTAAATGATATTTCCCACAAAGAGCATTACCATCTGACATACCCTCCTACCACTGATTGCTAGAATACCTGCCAATACCTGCCCCTTCCTATTAAAATGGAAGCACCAGAAAATGGATAGAGAGAAGGGGAATGAAGGGAAAAGAGTAAGGAAAGGGCTGAAACTGCAAGAAAACAGAGACCATTTTAAGTGGTGAACCCTTTTTTTTGTTGTTGTTGAGTACATAAAAAAAGGTATGAGAAGTTTCTTTCCTGGAAGGTTGTCTTGTTCAGCAGTACACTCTTCATGTTCTATTGTTTGCAAGGCTCTTGAATTGCGTAACTTCTGTTAATTAAAGCAGATTTACTTATTTTAGCTAGCAACCCATCATGAGCTGTCTTTATGTATGAAAATACTTATATCTTTACATACTACTGCTTTAGACCTACCACAATTGTGTAGAATATGTTAGACCTGTCTTTCAGGAGCAGTTTAATCTTTTCCTTGAAAAAGGCTATGGATGAAACTAATACGAAAAGACAGATACTGAGGCAGCAAATTTAATGACTAGATTAACAGTACTTTGAAAGTCTTAAAAAGTTTGATGTTATTAAGACATACCTTTTAAAGCAGTATGATTCACTTCTAAGGCCAATATATTAGGTCAGGGAGACTATGACTGGTCTCTCAGACCTCATACACTTTCAGAGGGAGCCATTGATTAGTGCAAGAGGGAATTCTAAATTTTAGTTTCCAGAAAAAAAATTGTACCTTCTGGTTCTTAGAGAAATCCTAATACCAACCCAATAATATATCCCTGCACATGTAAATTGTGGCTTAACTAAGAAAATGGATTTTTTTCTTTTTTTTCTTTGTTTTTTTAATAGATGGGGATATATTTGCCTTGGTTTTACATACAGAGCAAAATGAAAGTTATTTGTCAGAAAGGCAAAACCTGATGACAAGTACTTAAAATCTAGAATAGTTCATTTCATGTACTTACCTAATCATCAATACCTTGTTCACTTTAGCGGTACCCTGGGCAAGTCATACTTAAATCAACCAGACTACGGCTGGCTCATGCAAAAAGAAAATGCGTGGCCAGCCCAGTGTCCTGTGTCGATCAGCCTCAATCTTTGCCAGCAACCCTAAAAAGCCAAGAGAAGAGTGAAGAGGTGGAATCAGAAAGTGCAGTTCCGCCTTTGCAAGTGCAGGAACCTACAAGCTTAAAACAGCTTCAGGATATCTCGTTGCCTCCTAATGGTGTTACCTCTGAGCTGCCCCATGTCAGCACTTCTCCACTCACCAGTAATCAGCCTCAGCTGGAGACTATTACTGGAGAACAGCTTCCAACCCCTTTGCCTCCACCACCTCCACCTCCGCCTCCTCCTTTGCCCTCCAAGGAAGATGCCACCAAATCCTTAGAGAAAAATGACAGCTTTGTTAAACGTGTGGAGAAAGGAGTCCAGCACTCTTCTGGTGTCCCACCAGCGCATCTGTTTGATAGCAGTCAGCTAGTTAGTGCCAAGAAGAAGCTTAAGAAGACTGGTGATCTAGAGGGTGTACAGAGGAGGAAAGGTAATGTTTTAATTTCTGTGTGTTTAATTTTTTGTTAGTTTAAAAATTGTAAGGCACATCCCTTCCTCTTTTGAATTGATCTGTGGGAAAGTGCGGGCTGTGATTTAATAATAATTATTATTTATAATAATTTATTATTAATGCAAAAGTTGTTAAATCCTTTTCAGTTGGTAAATGCTGAGAACTCAAACATTAGGATTTTTAGGACAGTGTGGCATACTTGATCAGTTAGAAAACACAAAACTGACTTTCTGCTACCACATTACATTAGATAGAAAATGGAGCTAAATGCTGTCTAAAAGAATTTTTTTATCTATTTACTGCCAGCACTGCAAGTATTAGGGTGCAGTGTTTTTTTAATAACAGAGCAACAATAATTTTTCTGCAGTTCTATTGTTTATTTTACATTTTATCTTGCAATTTTTTATAAAGCACCTATTGTGTGTAGTTTTATATGCATCATAATACGATAAATATAAGTCAAATTATGTCATCCCTCTTAAGAGTGTTGTTACTGTCTGCAGCAGTACTCTACTTCTGATCTGTATCCCCTGAGATGTTCCAAGTCTCTCAGTGGCTTCAGAAGGTTGTCTGTGTATGACAGACAAGTGCTTTACAGTCCTTCTTTCCACTGCCAAATATGCAGTCCTGTATTCTTTTATTTCTCTCTTCCTCATGTCTATTCTAACTGTCCAGGCCCTTAGTCTAATGGACAAAGCTTACTTATAAATGCAAAACAGGTTTTAAAAAATGTGTTCTACAGTATAAAAAAACCCCCTGGAGATGGATATTCATGTGTTAATTGTTAAGTGCTGCACCTTTTATGTTCTAGTGTATGTGAGCTGTTTAAACCATTGTACTTTATTATAATGCTTTCTTGTCTACTTATAGCTTTTCAAAGACCCAAAGCCTGGGTTTTATTTCTGAAAAAAAATAAAGTTTCAAAATTAGTGATAAAGGAAGGATTTGCTTTGAAGTATTATCTTTTCCTTCTCTGTTTTAATTAATTATAAAGGAAGGGAGTTTTTATGGGTGTGATTTGACTAGGTGCCAATATATTTGTGAATCCAGAGAAGCAGAATATGCATGCTGTTGCAGTTGACTGTATTGCTGTTCCCCTCATGGCATGTCATGTTAGTCAGGCAACAGGCAAAATTAGTCATAAAATGTGAGTGATGAGAATGGATTGCACAGTCCAGTACCTAAGGTACGTACTCATTACCTGAGTTTTAAAGTCAAAACAAAAATACTTTAGTTGTGTTGGATTCGTTGCAGGTTATTTGATTTTCCTGACTGCAAACATGAAAGCCACCTTGTTCAAAAAGCTTTACGACCTGGCTGATAGGAAGTTAAGTGGTTACAAAAATTACTTGTCTGTATAAACCAATTTTGACCTTGTAATAAGGAAGATAAATTTAGAGGCTGAAACAGCATTGGGACAACCATTATACTTATGGTATGGGACTATCATGTTGATAGTATGTAGCTACTTTTTGATCTCTAGGAAATGAAAATTAAGGCTGATAAAATTTAGTAAAAATAGTACTAAAGGTCTTCTGATTTACTGCAGTGAGTTCCCCGATGGATGAAGTGCTGGCTTCCTTGAAACGTGGCAGCTTTCACTTAAGAAAAGTTGAGCAGAGAAGTCTTCCTCCTTTTCCTGATGAAGATGATAGCAATAACATCTTGGCTCAGATCAGAAAAGGGGTGAAACTGAAGAAGGTGCAGAAAGATGTTTTGAGAGAATCCTTTACAATTCTGCCTGATACTGACCCTCTGACAAGGAGCATCCATGAAGCATTGCGACGGATTAAGGAAGCGTCACCTGAGTCAGAGGATGAAGAGGAGAGTTTGCCTTGCACAGACTGGGAAAATTAACCTGTAATTAAACTACATTTTTAAAAAATATTTCTGCAACAGTTTTTCTATAAACATAGCAAATAAACCTCAGTTTATTCATTTTAGGAGACGTAGTACAAATGTGACTAAACTGCTTGTCATCTAGTGTGATAAAACATACACACATGAATTTTGTATCACTGACTTTCCAAAGAATTTAAGGTTTATAATAAGGAAAACTTTTATAGACAGTATCTTAGCTTTTTACTTTTAGTCTGAGTACTTTTGCTGAATATTGACAGGACTGCTCCTAGAAAAAGCTCTATTTTATTTAATAAATTTGAAGGGACAGTTTCCAGCTTACCAAAAAGCTTTAAAAAGCAGCACAATCACTCTTGGATGCACCTTATACTTATTTTTTAATTACTTCTAGCCTTGTAAAAATTTGGCATGTCTGTCACTTCAGGCTGAATAACTTTTAAGTGAAGGACAGTTATATTTGAATGCTGAACACATTGAAATCTCATGGGTTACCCTGTGCGACTGACTTCAAGACTGCTTGGTTTCAATCTGTAAAATCTCTGACTTAATTGAATTTCCAGGCTATAAACAGTAAATATAAAAAAATTTAATTTATATTTCTGCTATTCATATGAATTCTATGAACTTGCATTATACTATGCTAGAGTGCCTGAAAGTACAGACTTCAGCAGATGAAGTTAATGATTTCACAACAAACTAAAAATTGGCAAGAGATACATTTTCAAAATCATGTCTGCATCAGTAGCAAAAAGAGATTCTTGATCGCAGCAGCAGGATACAGCACTGTTCTGTGATGGTTCTTTTCTGCTACTGGCACGTTGATGAATTTAAGTATCAGTGAAGATTCCCACTAAACTCGAAATTTGAGAAACCAGAGGTATGACAATCTGTAAAGAATTTTAAAATCTGTTTAGAAATCAAAGGCTATTTCAATAGAATGGAAGACAAATATTTGTAATCCTTGCAACACATCTAGCAGTAGAAAACAAATAACTTTTGAATGTTCACAATCTGGTATTTCTACCCTGGTTAGTTACTACTGTAGCTGGAGAATGGCTGTTGGTAAAGTGCTCTAGCTGTTTAAAAACTGACTGTGACTTAGCGTATATCATCTGCTGAATTTTCTTGTGTGTATGAAAGACTGTGTCTCAAACTGTTCTATTGGTATGCTATTTTCAAATAATTTAAAATTTTTGAAAAGAAAAATAAATATTGCCTTTATTTCCTCATGAACTAGCCATTAGCCACTCCAATGATTTATTATTGTTTAATTATGCCTTACTCCTTCTATTCCATACTAATGTGCTACTAGTTTTGGAGCTGAAAATCAAGGAGTGGAGATGTACTTAACTCTTGCTGAAACTCAAAGTGAAAATAATTTTCCTTGGATATAAATTTTTTCTATCCATGCATACTGAAAAATCTCACTACCGCAGCCCTTCAGAAATCAAGTGACAACTGTAAGAAAGGACATGCCTTGGAACTGACTTGGCTTTCTTAGTACAATTATTCTAATTTGTTAGATAATGGACCAAATTTAAAATTTTGTGATTTGACTTTGATTTTAGTAGATCTATTTTACTGTTAAGGATCATGTTTGCTTGGGTTTTTTTTGTTTTGTTTCAAGATAAAAAGGAATTTTCCAGGAATGACTTAAATTTTTTTTAATCTAATTGGTTGACCTCCTAAACATTTTCTATTAGAAGTGCATTGTCTTAGAATTCTTCTGTGGTCATTGCCATACAGTATGAATACACGTTTTCCTCTGCTGTCTGCAGCCCCATAAAAGCAGTACAGAATGCAGGCTGAAGATCACTGCCATGCAGTCCCTTTAGTACGCTGGTTGTCGTCTCCTTTTTACCAGTCTACATCCTTCTGAGGTCCCATGAAATCACTTGGACCTATAAGCAGGATGCAGTGTCAGTGTCAGAGTTCTGAGTACGCTGCTTGGGAGTTCTTCATTTATCTGGGACCTGCTTTCTCTTACCAATGTCACATTTTATTATGAAAAGAATGCTCTTTTCATGCAGTGAGATTATTCAATAGATAATAGTCTCAATTGAAAAATATTTGTACAAAACAGCTAACAGCACAGAAAGAAAAAGCACGCCCCTGCTAACAAAACATGTGAAATGTTCTGGGAGAACAGAGATGGAGACAAAACTCTTGAAAAATTCAGCTGAATAAATACTTTCCATATAGATAAGTGTGCTTGCTTAACCAGACTGGCTTAATAGAATTCATTATACAAGAATAAAATGTAATGAAAGTCTGTTGTAGAAATTGCAGATTAGTATTTTTTACTATAAGGTTATCCATTTAATACTGTGCTTTAAGACTGACCTACTGGTTTTTAACTGGTAAACTCTGCACATCCCAAAAATTAGCACAGAGGTTCTAGATTGAAAACACTATATACAGGAATATATTGGCACAAGTGTTGAAGTATATTGGTACACGTGTTGTGAACTGTGCTTAATTACATGTACATCTGTATAGGCTAAATGTAATGCAGTTATTTGCCTTAGAAATAAAGGCTAAATCTGAAACAGTGATGTACATTTATCAAGAGCCAAAAAGTGTCTTAAAGCATCTGCAGGGCATATTAACAGTGCTCACTGAAGAGGTTTCATTAATTATTGAAGTTTGAAGACAAACTAATACTAATACAGTAACTAATTCTTGCAGGAGATTTAGTTGTCTGTATTTCCTGCCCTGTGATTTAACTTCTACCTGAAGTTATGGCTAACTTCCTTAAGAACAGTTCCTTCCTTACAGACATTCTAAACCACATGCAAAGATGTTGAGGCCTTCTGTGTACGGAAATAGCTGAACAAGTAATACAAATGCACAGTGTCTTCTGTGTGAAAAATCCAGATTACTGGTTATCAAAAGCATCCCAAGCATTTATGTGTGTGTGTACATAATAGTACACATAAACTACTATAGTATATTAAGAGTACTTTTAAGTAATGCAAAACGTGGGTTCCTGTGAGTGATGGACAAAGTAACAGATAACAAGTGAACTTTTTCTCTCTGTAGTCTTCTAATCCAGTATTTTGAGCCTCTTCAAACTCTAATCTGTATTCACTGCCAGTAATACCAGAAGGCAAAAAAAAAAAGACCTGGTCATACTATGTGTGTTCTGGCTGCAGAGTTAGTGTGTCATTACCCTAGGAGCAATTACCCTACTTTGCTCAGTACAGTGCTGCTTAGCATTGCATGTTAGAATTGCCTAATATGTTGATCAGAGAATATTCGTACAGCCGTTTAGCTTTTCAGATGTTCCTTTTTCTTTTTTCCCAAACAGGTGATTGACAGCCAACGATGTGAGAAAAGAAACCCCAGCTGAAGATTACTTTTCCTCTACATTTCTGAAAATTCAGACCCAGCAGTTATGACCATCAATTCCACAGGAGGCTTTTTTTGGCAAAGAAAGTCTTTCTTTGACAAATAATTCAGTATATGGGAAAAACAGCCTGAAATGTTGATTTCAGGTCACTTTTTTCTTTCATTTGTTCAAACAAATCCTGGTTTGGGCAGAAAGCTAAGTTGTTTAGATGTGCATTTTATACGATCAAGAATGCCCAATTCTTAAGCACTTTTTATAATTGCGTTAGTAATGTGTGGCCAGTTAAGTGAGGGGGGCATTTTGAGTTGGGCAACTACATGCTGTTAGAGTAACCTTAGGATTCCACACTGGCTATAAAATGTCCCCTTCACTGCACTGAATATCTCATGTGCTTGAAAATTCAAACAAATGGCTCCTGGCAGAGAAGATTGCTGTGCAGCAGTGTGATATTCCAGAAAGAACAGAATTTCTAGTTGCACTACCGTAGCTGAAATTCAGTAACATGCAACTGAGACTTTTTTTTCTTCTTAGTTTGAAGAATTGTATGTCAGTATGAAATGCAACAAGTGACTACAGCACAGTGAGAAATAAGAGTTGAATTCAGTACATAATCGAGAATGTGTTTGTTTCCATCATGATACATTTAGGAAGACATACCACAGCACCTTTTTTAGAAGGTCATTTGTAGTCTGACATCTTTTTAAAGTAGACATTTTCATGCTTTTTTAAAATAATATTTAGCTATGCCGAACCAAGTTAGTTATACTTTTATCATTTGTTATAAGAAGCAATATTTTGTAATTTCATACTTAAAAATATTTTTCTCTTTTAATTTAAAATGTCTTTTGATTAGTCTAAGCAGCCTTCTTTAAAAAAAAGATCAAAGCACTCAAATGTACTGATAATTGCGTTGTGAAAATCATGCTTTTCCTGCTGGTTTTCATTATTCCCTTTAGTGGCTACAAAAATGTTTGTATTTCATACCCAAAAGCCTACTGGCTGAAAACTGGTTCTTTTTATTCTGACTTTTATTTTTAAAGGAGGGTTACAAAGGAGTAGTCCTAAACTTCATGACTAATGGCTGCAGGCAGCTACTCTTATGATACCACAGTACCAAGAGGTATGTCAATACAAAGATACAAATAGCTTTGTACCACCTAAAAACCTCATGTGATATTAAAGTCAGCCCATTAGACTTCTAATAAAACTGAATTTTCACTAGAATTTTGTTTTTACTAGCGTAATATATACTGTGTTCAGGAAGTTCACAGTCCCTGTCCTTTGTGTAGTGTCGTCCATTCACTGTTCTTCTTTTGACAGATAAACTACTATGGGGATTTGGGTTCTTTTAAGTGGAGTTACTCATTGCTGCTGTCATGTAATGGAACATGTACTGTGTTAAAACTTATAATAGGGGATTTCATGACTTGCCGTTTACTTACAGAAAGAGAAGCGGGAGAACTTACCTTAGCAATAGGCTGTATAACCTAAAGGAACCTCAGCTCTTGGACCCTTCAGTTGTTTTGCTGTGGCTGTCTGAAAATTAAAGCTCTGTCAAACATCTTGAAAGGATTTTCTTAACCATGTTGCCTTACTTACAAAGTTAGTGAACATTCATTTTCAAATCACCTGCAAGCAGTGTTAATGCAGAGTTGTATTGATTCTTGCTTAATTAGTTGTCAGGTCTCTGTTTTTCTGTCCTGAGATCAGCTCTGTGAAATATCTGATACTGGCTTTCCACAGGCTTAAAACTACATGATGTTTTTTTCTTAAACTGCTTCTCTGAACTCTGAGTTACATGGTATGGTTGCAGGCTGCCTAATGCTGTGTTCATGCAGCAATAGTAGCAATTTCAAAGTTCATCATAATCATTTGACACTGCGTATACCATAATCTGTGGTGTATTTTTGCTCTACATTTGTTTGTAATTTCAATCACCACACATTAAAACCAAGGTAATGAAATAAATTTTTGGCTGTAGCACAGAGCAGAACCATGATGTAGAATGGTAATTCACATTATACAATTCATCTGAAACTTAGTGCAAAATTAACAGTTGTGAATGAGCAACTTTTGTATCTTTTTTTTCCTATTTTTCATCGTGCAGTTTTATGCCTTGGCATATGCATATAGAACACTAGTAAAATTCCAAGCCGAGGAAAAATAGTGTAATTTTAAAGTATAGGTGCAGTGGTTCCCTTGCACAGCATTTGTCTGCAGTTTACCACTGTGTTGTGATTAATCTAAGTAGCTCCATGCTGTACTGTAGTACAGTTTTCAGGTATGTTTGCCATGTAATCTGTCATCTTTGCCTTGAAAAATGTGTGCATGATTCATAAAAAATTACTATGTTTCATATTTAGCTGAAATTTTAGATGCCTGTGATAGCTTAGTATAGAAATGGAGTTCTCATATGAGCATGTATTTTATGCGCACACAAAAAGTAGTTGTGATGCCGAGCATAGCAGTATATATCAGTTCAAAACGGCCATCTTCCGTGTGGAAAGTGAATGTTTGTTTTTTTTCATGTCCTGCTCAAAAAAAAGAAAAAATCCCTGAATTTTAATCCTCCATAAGTCACTAGATGTCACAATTTCACATAATTTTCCACTTTGATATAAAAATGGTGCGTATATAGTGTACACAGGCTAATGCATAAAACTTCAGTCCTTTGTAATGTGAAATTTTCCAGTGGGATGGCTACAGCAGCAAATGGGGAACATTTAAGTATATTCACAAGAAACTTTTATGGAAATTATAACAGTCCTGCATTGTGGTCAGTTCCTCTAGAGGTGAGAAAAGCTGTAATAATTGCATTGGTCCTTGAGAAATCTTGGCAAGCATCACTAAGAAAAAACACAGAAACATGTGCAAGGAGCCTCCATAAAAAGACCTGCGTATTGGTATTTTTCATTTCATTGTTGTGACTGCATTGTTCCATTGCTAGTTATTTATCTTAAACAATTGGTCAACTTTTGGGCCTTTTCCACTTTTAGAAGCTTCTTTCTTTGTTCTTCTACTATGGTGTAATTGATCCTGTGAGGTAAAGAGTTGGAATGCATAATGTTTATTGTACAAATGCTTATGTAAGGACTGAAAAATCTTTTTTGAGTGGGAACAAGAAACTAAATACTCAGTTTCTCCTAAAGTAACGAAAATGTAAGGTAAACAGCAGTAGTCTTTTGTTCAGAAATGAAATTTGCATCAACAAAAATTTCATGCTCTCATTCACAGAGGTTCCAGATCCTTTACAGATGACCAATAGTCTTACTATTTTACTGTATTTTCATATGCTAGTTATCTGTCTAGGGTAGATGAAGGCTTTTTTATTCTTCTCAAACATCACTTTTGAGTTTTGTTCATTTGTTTGTTTTAAATCTGACAGTCTGCATCCTACACCAGACACTTGTAAAATAAATTAGTATGATTATATATTGTGTTCTTTTGTGACTGCATTGGGGATAGAACTTAACATACTATACTATATTATTTGTAAAGAATCATTTTGAGTATAAACGCTATATTCTGTACTGTTTAATATTAATGACGTGCATTATTGAAGATGCAACTTATTGAGGAAGCAGAAACATTATTGTTACCCTTATTCCATTTGTTGCACTGAATTTCAAGAGTGTAATTTGTAAATCAAGTTTGCTCATGTGTGTAATCAGATTTTATCTTCATTGTAATGCTTATGTAATTAAATTACCTGGATATATTTCCGGTAACGATTCCATAAGCATGGACAATATGTTATGTTTATCACTACAGAATTAATATTACAAACAAGCAAAGCTGCTTGCAAAGAAAAAGAGTAACAGAAGCACCTTACCGGGAGAGTGTGTTGCATGATTTCACTGCTCTTGGAGCTGACAGACAGTAGATCATCTTAAACTTGACTGCAAATTGCTCTTTGGTGTAATAAGCACATTGACATATTGCTATTAATGCTATCAACAGCAATGGCTATTTTTAACCTATACATATACTGTAATTTAAATTTTCCTACAAAATGAATTTATATTTAATTGACGCCTAATACAATAAATAGTTGAATACTTAAAATTAGGATTTTTAGGAGGGTCAAGGGAGGGAGGGCATGCCAGTATATTTGTGGGAGGGACTGTTGCATATACAGGTCTTTGCACTTCCTGTTCAGTTTGACTGTTAGTCCAAAACTCACAGCTCTGACTGTGGTGAATCTGCAACCTGACACCTATGTATTTTTGTTGTGATTCAGGTCTTCTGTGTTCTGTGGCCCAGAGGTTCAGAATTTGACAGAAGTGGTCATCTTTCCATTCTCAAATGTGAATGCTCTGTAACTCTAACATGGGAAATGACCAAGCAATGAATTTTACTCTGCTGAGTTTCTAATGTTAACATGGAGCATTATTTAAAGCTGTTAACCTGAAGTGTGTCCACTGGAAACAAGTAAAAAATATGATGACTGTTTTGGTGCATATAGTCCAAACTCTGCAGAGATTTTTATTCCAGTCTGTTGAATATCCAGTAATAAGTTTGCTGTAGACTGGCTTGATTTTCAGATTACAAACTTATTTTTGATTTCTGAATTGGGAAATAGGTGTTGGGTATTGGGGATATTCACTTAACATCTCCCAGCATGGTGTTGCAGTTGCCATATATTTTTAATTTCATCTTAATGTATAAAATATGTATCATCATAAAAGGAAAGCTTAAGAATTACAAATGTTTGCAAGTTGTCTTGCATGAATGAAGCCAGTGAAGCTTAGTGAAACTAACTTCTTTGTTAAACCTGTTGAATAAATAAGAAATAATATAAAAACAAATTTTCCATTCACTAGCTTTGTGCAATATTATCATTAGACACTACTAGCACATTGTGCTTGGCTTTAAGAAAGTTCTTTAACTCTATTATATTCAAAAGGACATATTAAGTGCATATTTTATTGTAAACAATTCTGCAAATTTACTATGCCTGAAAATGCTCAAAGTTATAAAGTGTTAAGCACAAGTATGTTTAAAAAAAAAGGTTAAAAACTAAACAGACATTTCTAGCAATACCTAAAAACTAAAAAAAGTTTTAACTGTCTGCTTTTTGGTCTTTTTTTTCTTTAGTGCAGCTTTTTTGCAATGCAAGTTTATTTCTGTGTATTTCATGGGTTTTTTTATTATCATGATTCAGAAATATAAACCTGTACACAAAGTACTGCATTCACCTTATTGTACATGCAATGTAACATCATACTCACAGTTTTGGTGCTTTAAAATTATTCCTTTTTTCTTTATTAAAGGATATTTATTTGACCACTGTCTTGGTTTTAACTTTGACTATGTTCCAACATTAAAAGAAATATTTTTAGTATAGTTTGGTTCCCACAAAAAAAAAAAAAAAAGGGTTCAAATCTGATTCATTTAGGTTCCCTTTGTTATTCTTTTAACTCCTCAAGCTGCCTCTTATTGCTTAGTGGCAGGTGGTTGTGTCTAAGATATGTTGCAGCAGGGAATAATTATGTTTAGGTCACATCTTTGTAAACGAAGTCACATGAACAGCTGAGGTGTATAAGAAACTTGCTCTTTAATCACGCAGAATAGTTGTGCTTAAATACAAGTCACACCCAGTTTCCATCTCTTAATCAAAAGACAAACACTCTATGAAAAACGATTGAAGTTTAAATCCAGAAATGGTAAGAGCTTGTCTCCCTTATTACACTTACTGTGTCCCAAAATAGAGTTGCTGGATGCCTGTAGGTAAGTTTTTCTGGTTTTTTCCTATAGTCATTTTAAGTTGTTATTTATGTAAACATAAATCTATGAGATATGTTTGTATTGTGTCTCCCTTTGGCTTCTGTGTTTCTGGTGCAGTGCAGGTAGGTTTTATGTCCAGGTGGTCCCTTAACATGAGGAAGATAAAAATCAGTGTATTCCTAGAACAAGAAATTTTTAATGCAGTTACAATTCTGAGAAAACAAGAAAAAGGCTGGACATTTCTAAGAGCAATTTGAAACAAAGGTTGTATTTCCAGCACAAATCTTCACTGCAAAGTGTCTGAAACAAGATTCAAGGCCTGTCTGGCTTTGGTTTCCTACTGATGTTTTCAACGTCAGGTAATAATGGCATATGCTGTTAATTTCGGTTTGTGACAAAACACACATAGAACAAGTAGGAAATGTGCTTTGAAATAAGCAAGTTGATCATTGCTGACTTAAGAAAGAACAGAGTTATATTTATATCCGAGTTCTGTTCCTCTTGGTCTGGCTATGCATTCAGCAGTGTGTGACCCTGGTGTGGGGGCCTGTGCAGGACAGAGAGACATCAACTGGTATCTGCTTTGGCCTCGGCTTCAGTGGATAAACAGATGCTTTTGTATGACTCGTGTGGGTATCCCTACATGTTGGAAGTGTATTTAATGCATGCATCAGAATTGCAGATCAGTGAATATATCCATAGGCACACTTGGGAGGCAGTGCTATGCTGTGCAGCATAAGGCCTAAATGTTTGTACAACACATAGAAGATGGAAAATACATAGAACCATCATTTACTCTTTTTCCTGTTTGTTACATGTCAGATGTAAAGTAAAGCAAAGGTACATTGTAAATAATACTGGGCCACAGTGCCTCTGAAACTTGTAGAAATAAAACCCCTCTTCCTCACAGGAACCAACTGATATGCAGGGTTTTTTTCATTTCCACCGCTTACTACTTAACAGAGGCAATACATACAAGGGAGAGACACAGAAATGGAAAGCAAGTTTGTCAGATCTCCTTTTCTAAAACCTATAAACCTTTCTCAGCCATTCTTACTGCTGCTTCTCATCATAGGGAGAAGCCCATTTTACGGGCTTCATTCTTCCTGCCACAAGGGAAGGAGCTTACAGGAAACCTAGACTTCTGCAGTATCTCTGAATATCTGGATCACCAAGCCACCAGTGTGTCATTGCCATCACCACAGCTTGAACTTTGTGTGACTGTCACAAGATCAGTGTCGAAGTCTAGTGTTACAGAGTTTTGCCAGTGTTTTCACCTTTTGGGAGTGAGGGTTATAACTGAGGATCAGATGGCCTCTATAAACTTTAGATGTACCATGTCAGTCATTTAACTATTAAAAGCATCACTTTCTTTCACACAAACTGCCCTACAGCACAAAACCATACCAGAGGTTTTACCAGGAAGCTACAGCATCATTGCCATATAACCTACCTTAGAAAAGTGCTGCAATTTTGTGTCCAACTCTCCATCCTGCAGATTTGTTCCCACGGAGATGCCTTCCTGCCCTTTCCCCCTCTGCAGAAAGATTCTCAGTCTCTCTTACTTTCTCTAAACTTTATGCAAATCTTCACCAAAGTCATGCTCACTGTCCACACTTTCATCAGCTGAAAGACAGCATATCTCCCTTGAAATGTTGCCGCCACAGCAAGGGCTGATGGATAAAAAGGGGCAGAGATCATTATCTGTGCTATTAAAGCTGGTTCCTGTCTGTGTTGGTGCTGAGGTTCACTCGTTGTTCATCAACCAAAACTGGGAAAAAAACCCTCCAAACCAGAAATTACATATAAGTTCGCTCTTATCTGCTGCATTATCCCCTTATTCCTGCTGTGGCAGTGTGCTGTCTGTGGGATGTTTGTTGGAGATACTGGTGCCATAGGCAAATCACTTGTATTGCCTTCTTGCAACGCTTTCTCCTCGCCATGGAAGACAGCAGACTTTCTGACTTCTCTGAGACATCTCACTACCGCCTTATAATTGCTTATATAAGGCCAAGCACATTGATGGTCTTTCAAACAAAGTCACTGTTTACTTCATGCTTTTATCTTAACAACTTTTCTAATTGGCATCACACTCCTGTACATTACTGTTTAAAAGTCACAGGAATAAGAAAAATTGAATGATGCAATTCATACAAAGCACTTACATTAACTACTTTTTGTTCCTCAGTACTTTATTTTCATCCCATTTAATTTCAGCAAGAATATAACTGAGCTCTTAGCATACAAAATCATCAGTGCATGCTCAAACTGCCATGCATTTTAAATGCACAATTTAAACAATACAACAGACGTTTAATGAATCAACTTCATTTGAAGCATCATAAATTGATGGCCTTTTTTCCCCCCCACACTCACTTGCTGTGAGTAAAATAAGTGTTGGAGTGGATAGAGTCCTGCAAAAACAATTTAACAGAGAAACCATTACACACTGCTCTTGGCTTCTAATGACATATTAAAAAAAAAAAAAAAGAATTGGCATTAAAAAATAAACTTGATAGTACTAAAAAAAAATCACAAATCCTGTACTTTTGTTGCTGAATCACATATACCTTTGTCATTCCTGTAATGGTTTCCTAAAGATTTCTACTGCTGGAAGGTCACACTGATCCACTGAAGTGCCTACTGGTTGAGGGCTTCTCTTAATAGCAAACTAAGATGAAATCTCAGGTCACTACTTCCCCTCTTGTCCGGCACCACTGCATGAGCAAATTATTTCCACCCACTCTGCAACAACATTTTGTCAGTTGTCATGCACGCCCCACCTTACTCTGTCACTCAGCTTTACTGTGCTCAGTGGGTAAGGCTTATGGCTTTTGTGAGGTCTGACCATTCCTCCAGTGCCTGTGGCCAGCAGACAGGGTCAAGAAAAGCAGAGTGACACTTGTACCATATCTACTTTTATTAATCCATTCTGGGAAAAGATGGGAGGAGTGCAGGAATTGTCCTCAGTCAAAGGTAGCATTAGTTAACTATGCTTGATTGATAGACCAAATCTGTTTAGGAGATTAGGTTTGTTACTCTAAAAAAAAAAAAAAAAAAAAAAATAGTATATGAAAAGTGTCTATTTGGGCTATGTTTCCTGGGAGAACATGAGCCACACATTGCCTACCAGGACATGCTTTGCTTAGACTTGTGTACAAATTAACATATTACATCTAAAACACATTTAAATACTCAAAAGCAGTTACAGTTGCAAGTAAATGCTCTGTCCCATTTTGCAGAAGTCTTCAGCTTTTAATTTCAATTTGCAATAAGAAACTTTGAACAGAAACTCTGTGTCCCAGCCAGCATTTGCTGAGACTGCACTATCAGCCTTCTGGGATAAATCTCGGTTCTGCTCCTAGCCATCAGCTGCCCAAGAGAACTAAAGACTTCTAGCCTTTTGAGGCCCAGATGATCTGCTGCAGTCCTTGGTGGATACTCATGGTTGCAAGGATGCTTCTGAATAAGAAGTGGTACTGTCAGTATCAGTTTGGCTGAGCAAAATTTAGCTTCTGCTCCCTTTGGAGCTCACCCAGTAGAAGGCGCCTAGCTGTTTCCCAAGAGGACACTATAGTGTTCTCTGTTAAGCCATCAACATGTCATTGCATTAGCAAGTTGTGGAGTTTCATTAAAAAAAACCCAAACAAACAACAAAACAAAATGAAACATCAAAAAACCCAAAACCCAAAAAAAACCAACCTAAAACCAACTTACCCTTAAATATTGTAAATTAAAGTTTCTTCACTTAAATCTGTCAAGACCTTCCAGCCAGTGAAGGCCTGATCCCTTGACACACCACTGTAACCAGCTATTTTCCAAGTAGCTACATGCCAGCATTCATGCCACGTAAAATCCAGGGTGGGGGTCAGGGAGGTCAGCTCACAACTGCCTCTATAGCAGCCCACTCTTCTGGGGCAGTGCCTCAAAAGAGAGACTTTAAATGCCACAGCAAATTCCACAGCCCCGTAGTAGCTCCTCCCAGGCTGTAAAACCAGCCTCAAAGGCTGCTGAAACTGCTCTTGTCCTCCAAGTAAACCCTTCTCACTGCCAGGGCTACAGAGGCAATTGTGTGTTTGGACAATCTGGCAGTCCCTGGTGGGGTTGTTTGCTCAGCCACAGAGCTGACTAATGCTGTACTCTGTGAGGCCTTACTTCCTTACGTATTTTAGAATACCTATGTCCAGCTCAATACCGCAATTTGGCCCAAGTGTCAAAATTCCCTTAAAACTCTCTGAACTTTCAGCACCGTTTTCCACCTGCCACCTGCCCGACCTACTAAGTCCTGTAGCTAGATTTCCCAGTGACTCAGGCACACTGCAGCAGTTGCACAGAACCTGCTCTCATCTTTGTACTGTTTCTCTCATGGAGGTTTCCAATGTTGCTATAATTCATTTCCAAAGACCTGTCACCTGTCCTAGCTGATGACAGAAATCCTCTAGCTTGATGGGAATTTTTGCTGCCAGATATAGGATCCCTTTGTTTTAGCATGAAAATCAGCTCCGTTTCTTCTGATAACAGCCTGCCAATCCTAACATATTCCTGTATTTTCACTTGAGGAGTTACAATTGCCTTATAGGGAAGCTTTATTTGGCCAATGCAGTCATCATCAGTAAGGAGAATACAAACTCCTGTTTTCTGAAAATACTTGCATCGCTCTCTTTTAGACAGCTCTGTTTCAAAATATGTCCTCATGGTGTTACAGTAATGCTTGTTTAGAGCATCTGTGATGTTTTCTCACTACTTCTTCTCTTGGCATGTTTGGCTGGCCAGCTCCTTCCCTGAGGCTGAGGTGTTCAGTCACCATCTCATACTGACCAGTATCTTTTATGTGGGTGGGTTTTGGGGCTTTTTTGGGTTGCCACTCTGCCTGTTGGATGAGCTCGACACTGAATTTTTATGTTTCTCATTCCATAAACAGTTTAGGACTTATATTTACTGTAAACATGTGCTTGGTTGCTCCATGTTAGCCTGAGAAAAGAGCATAGAAAAAAAGGAAAAATACAAGAAATACCAGATAAAGAAAGTTTTGAATTGTAGGTTCAAATGATAACAATAACCACCTCAAATAAAGCTTTCATAATTTCTTTTTTCAAAGAGGTGGGGGAAAGAAGTTTATATCAAACCAATACATTACTGTGCTTCTTTAAGATATGCAGAATCAAATTTCCTGTTTTCTTCCCCTCCAAGCAAAACTCTCAATGTGCAGAATGCTCTGGACCAGAAGGGCTCAACTGGTAATGATGGCTGCAGTTTGAACAAGCAGCTTGTGAAAAAAAGGACAAACCCCCGGGTTGCTTCTGGGACAGACAGTGAGTGCAGCTAGCGGGGTGTAGCAGTGAGGCTGTGCAGCAGGGACTCGATGCAGGATTGAATCACTCAGTACGTACTACTACCCTGGCTCCTATCAGTAAGTGAAAGTCAAAGAGAGCTGAGCCTTTCACTGACAGATCTCTGGTTTCCATTGCTACTGATTACTGAGAAACAAAATGGTTGGGATTATAAAAATAACTGTATATTCAGATGTGGAGAAAGTAGATTTAATTTTTACATTTCCATCCATAGGTAAGGGCTGTGATGTCTCTCCTGCAGGCAAGTCCAAGATCATTTTGCTTCACATTTCTTTTGTTTTATTTAGACACAACTCCATTGATCATTTAACAAAATAAAGCCAGACTCAGAGAATTTCCTATGTCTTGTTCCCTCTCTGAAAATATTAACCTTACACATATCTGCATGACCATATTTAAATCCATACACACAGATTATATTTGCACATACCTTGTCAGTGTAGCTCTTCCTCTCCCCTTAGCACCTGGATGCATGCATTGTTTGTGAAGGTCCTTGTTTCTGCCTCCTTCTTGATCTACTGGGAAAAAAATCCCTCCTCTTCAAGAATTACTGCAGTCACAGAAATGCAAGTTGTCTTCCAAGAACATGTCTAGGTTGCTATTCTCAATCTAATGAAAGCAAAAGCGGCTGACATACTGCTGGATCTGTGCAGTAAGGTGAGGCTCAGGTAAGAACAGATGAGAACCCCCAGAGCAAGGGTGGAGAAAGTTGGAAACTACTTTGAAGTTAAGGAAAGAAAAACCCTAAAACCCAGCTCAGAATTCCATTACACAAACACCACTGCTGATAGGGACTGAAGGCAGGAAAAAACAGGGAGCATCAACAACCACTACCGATGGCTAAAACTGGTACCAAACCTCTAGAGTTGTGAAGGTAAAAGATTGAAAGGACAGGGGGTTGGCAGCCTGTACGGACTTCAGCTGTGTCCATGAAACACACCCTCAGTGCTGACCTTGAGAAGCCTATAGCAATCATAGTAGAGTTTTGGCAAGCCAGGTGTGCTCAATGCCAGCCTGATGTGAACACCTAGGAAAGTGAGATCCTTTCAGGTAGTCTGTGTCCTTTCCTATGCAAACCATTCTTGCCTATTTTACAGCTACACAAAGGTTCCACACAGGAAATCTTTTTGAAATCTGTGTTCCCCCCACCCTGCCCCAAATTGAAACCATTTTTGATAGTCACTCTCCTTCCCATGCCTTCATCTGCAAGTGATAAAACCTGCCCGGATGTACTGTTGCATATGAGCTCTGCTTGTGCAAGACTCACAATGAGGAAAAAAATGGGTATATTGTGTCTCTTTGGTCCTACGATGAGCTGCCAGCAGTGCAGAAGCAGTTCTGGCGACTACAGGTCCCTGAGAGGTTTTGGTGGGCAAGCTATGAGACCCCATATGGTGTGAAAACCCACTTCTGTCTACAGTATCTAGAGGTATTGTGATATCTACACTCGCACCTGCTTTCTGGCTAGGTTGCACGGCCAGAACAGTGGACATGAGCTGGACTGATTTCAGAATCTAACAAAAAACTCTGCTCGTTGTTCCAAAACATTTAGCATAATAGGGAAAATTAATCCTACTTGTCTGAAGTAAGTGGAGTACAACGAGGAACTAAGGCTACTAAGCAAAACCAGAGATTTTCAATTACGTGTTATTTAGTGATATGCTCTCTGCTCAGCACCGTTCAGAGGTAGTGCACATATGCAGCATTACTAAGAAAATGTAAACAAGACAATTTGAACATTGCTTTGCAGAGTCAGGTCCATTTCCTGAAAAAACCCGTTGACATATAGGTGTGCACTTAACTGGCATGTCCAGTTACTGAGACTGAACTACGCACATTTGGATGGAGTTTCTTGCTGGTCCTTTTTTAATTGTCTTTTGAGATCCAGACCTAATCTCTATTTAGATTTATCTTTGGCCTCATGATCCAAGATTTCTGCAATCAACCAAGTTAAGTGTTTTTACTGATATCCACAGTACTGATATCCCCAGAGAGTGATGGTCTGCAAGAGCTTTCCATTCCTCTCTCCATGTGGTATTTCTGAAAATGAATTTGGTTTTGGATGCAGTGTACACAGAGCGCTGTTCAGCAGCCACTTCAGTACAGAATATATAAGATGATATAGAATGAATTGAGGTTTAGCCTCTTATTGAAGATAAACCTGAAGCTAATCTCTAACAGGTAGAAAAATGAGCAGAAATCAGAAACCTTTCGCAACTGACAACCGAAGACAGATCCCAAAATATTAATCTTTAATTGATGCATTGTTCATTCTTGCAGGGTTTTCTTTAAAGGAATTATCCTGGGAATGCCACTGATAGCATTAAACAATTCTTATTTGTGTTACATCTGGTTTAGCCCTTTATTTATTTATTTATATTTTACCTGAAAATGTATTTTCTTAGAGACCTTATAACAGCATTTCTGTATTATCAGTTCATTTTTTTCCCCTCCTCTTTCCTGGATATACTGGCCAGGAAAAGGAACTCCCAGTCTGTAACAGACAGTTTAATTCACATGTTTTACTTTGTCCACATAGGTATATGGATTGTGAACAAGACACTCCAAAAACTAGCTATCCAGATGGGGATATACTTACAAAAATCTTTTATGTCAGAGTCAGGATTTCACAACATAACATGCTAATGCAAAATCCAGTAGCACCTGAAAGATTAAGGTAGCTGCTGCTGTCACTTGCACATACTTGAAAAGATTTAAGAAGAAAAAAGAAAAAAAGAGTAAAAGTACATTCTCCGGAGAACAGCAAGTGTATTCCAAAATAAAAAAACTGTGGTTTTGATTTTTCTCTTTTTCTCCTCTTGTTTTTCTTTTCCTTTTTAAAAATTTATTTATTTTTATTATTATTATTTCTGTATTTCTGTGAGGCTTATGGTAATTCTTTTTGCTTTGTTTTTTTACAAGACTGTAGTTGCCATGTAACAAGTTATACACAAAGTGACTGCTCTCCCCTCCAGTGCAAGTTCATGGTCTTGTTTTCAGGCTATTGTACTGAACACTGTTCTTGTATACATATTCCCATAGTTTCATCAAAGATAGATACAATGTACAGTATCTGTCTCTTGGACAGTAATGCTTTAAACCAGAAAAATTTTATCTTAAAACAGAAGTGGAGAGGCTACAGTAGGTATAGCCACCTAACTATGAACTTTAGATCACAATTTCTAAACACTTACCTACTGTACATAAGCATTAAAAATAGTCTTAGACATAGGATTTTATTTATATGTGCACGTATGTCCACCTTATCCCATATTTATGTTTGGCAACTATTTGGGAATTCAAAGGTGCAGCCCTCAGTAATTGTATTATTTAAAAAAAAAAAAAAGAAACGAAGAATATCTACTCTATGAGAAAAGAAATTCTCAAATATCAATTTCCAATTTTAAATTTAATTTCAATAGGAAAATATTAAAAATGTGCACATCTAAATTTTTCCACGTTTTGTATATACATATGTGTGTGTACTTACACATAGAAATGCTCATGTACCACACATACTCACAAAATTTAAGTGGAAATATTTCAGTCCACTCTTTCCCCACACGTATGACATCATATCTTTAAAAATGTCAATAATAATATCATTAAAAATAATATTACATTTATTCCATCATTAACTTTTTATTCTTTCTTCATCCTTATTATGTCCACTGAGCATTAGCAGGCCAAATTCTCCGTGCACTTCCACAGATGTTATGCCAACGGAATGTTGCTGACATCACATCAAGGACATATGTTTACAGCAGCACAAGTGACAGGAGAATCAGGCCCAAATATCCCCAGGAAAATTAAAAACTGGCTGTGTCTGCTCATCTGGACCTGATGAAGATATACACATCACTGTCTAAAATCCCCTGAATGAAAAAACACATAGTTCACCACAGTTTTCAACCAGTAGCACAATGAAACAAGCTCCCCCCACCCCTTTAATAAATGTGAGAAAATACCCTAAAAAATATGGAGAAAGCGTAAACATTGTGTATATTACATTCCATATAATACATGACAGTTTAGCATTTGACCTAAGCCATTTCCCTGACTAGTCAGGGGAGACCTGAAAAATCACTGGTAAATTAAAAAAAGGATATTTTAGAAATAAAGCATGTCTTTCCAGTATAAATGACAACCCGTGTGTATTATATGGTATATACACACAGTACACACATGAAAACAAACTTATCTTTTCTAGTTTTGATTATCAGTCTCTAAGTGAAGAAAATTGTGTTGTACAAAGCAGCTAGACTTCACGTTTAACATTCAAATTAACTTGGGGAGCAAACAAGGGTTCGTGCATCTTTCAACTCTGAAGTCTGGCACTCATTCATCCATTTTAAAAAAGCCCTCTTCAACATTACAAGCAATTTATGGCAAGAATGCACTGTGATGCAAGACACATGACACTTGGCTTACCTTTCAAGGGGTTGGGGTTTTTTTAAATAAATCTATTATATAAAGAAATGTGTGTTTGCCAAAAGTCTGTTAAAATTACACCAAAACAATTTTAAAACCTGCTTATGGAGGGTAATTGAATTCAATTTCCTGTTTTTAAATGCTTAATTAACAGTTCAGAATATTGCCTGGTGTAGTTTTGATAAAGATGCGATATGAAGACCCATAAAAGAGTAAACATGAATTCAATTCAGTTTGCTATGACAACAAAACTTCAAGAAACAGCCTTCTTGTCTAGACAAGTTCAGTATATGAGCAATCCCTTGCAATAGCTCTATGCCCTTAGTGCAATCTGTAACAAAACAGTGCTCCCCATAAGTCATTATTCACAGAACCTGAATTTCATGTCACATTCTGAAAAAGCCTCCCGCAGAGCAGGTTAACAGTTAATTGAACATTCAAGGCCAGAAAACAAACAACTGGCCACTCCTTGTTGTCTGTGCAGGTCAAATTTAAAATTTTAAATTTACATTTAAAATTCTCAGGGGGTTTGGGGCTTTTTTTCCCCTAGGGGACTCACCTTCCATCATTGGTTGGCTTCAAAATATAGTTAAGTGGAAGATACTATCTCACTGTAATTACATGGAATTCACATGAAAAAGTAAACCTTACATTGTACAATATTGTAGAACACCAGAGTAGCTCCATAAAGAAATACTGGAAATACTGTATCTTCCAGTATATATATATCTATAAAAAATCAAAAAACAACCAACCAAACAACCAAAAAAACCCAAAAAAGAAGAACTTTATACAAGCTGTTACAGTAAATTTGTTTCAATTAAAGATGCAACTCTCTCTCATTCCTGGCAAGAATAAATTGGTACCGGCACTGCTTCTCCACAGTGCAACATATCCTGAGAAATTATTATGATCAACAAAATACAGGGCTGTCATCACTAAGTTCTTGCACAAAACACAGCAATTAAATATCTTAAATAAATTAAAGAGCAAAAAACCTCTATTGTATCTATCACAAAAAGGGGATGTGACCTGGGACACTGCTAATTCTTCCATCACTGATAATTAGAAAAGGATTGCATTCAATTATTATTAATATCTTTCAAGTTATTTGTGGCCAATAATGTGCAAGGAGGCAATTTGCAATTCAAGTTTTTTTGTTTCTTATTTTTTTCTTCAACTAGTTACAAGTTGAGTTCTAAATTTTACATTTAAATACAACTCAAATTTAAAACAATCCCTCTCAGAGGAGCATTTTCTAATTTTGTGCAACTTTGATGCAGAACCCAACACAGTCCTATGAAGAGAGACAGTGCATCTTTAAGCTGATTGGCACTGAAATCCCATTTTCTTTAACTGCATTCTATTAACTTGGCCAAGTTATCTCGTAATTCTGTTAGTTCAAATATTTTTCCATCAAGAATTTCTAAAAGTGTCTTCAAGTTATTGCGAAAAGCTTCTTGCTCATTCTGACTTTTCTCCAGACGTTGCTCTAGATCAGAGAGCTGGCCTTCCAGGTCTTTGTTTCGAATTTCTACTTCCTTCAGAAAAAATACATAACATGTTAATGTCTTGTCTACAAACAGAAAGCAGTCTAACCTCCTACTGGTACTTGTGCTACTTTTGTCAACTGCTTTTTAAAACAATTTATGACCCTTTGCAATTTCCGCTAAACCAAAACCAGAAAATGAAGTATATGTACTGCTACGTCCTTATCTTTTTCCGTAACTATCTGAAAGACAGAAACTTTTGGAGAGGGATAAAATTTAGTCAGCGAACAAATGATACACTTACTTCTATAATTCAGAAATGTACCACCTCAGAAAAACAGCTTCTCAGAGTTTTACCTAAATTCAAATATACCCTGATTTAGACCATGAATTGCTCAAGGACTTGGTCTCCATGAAATGTTCTCATGGAGAAACCCATCCGGAACACTGCTTAGGAGGAGTATCTTACAGGTCTTTGCACTTTGAAAATAAAGACAGAAGCATAACCTACCAAGACTGATGTCAAGGTGACATGGACTGTAACAAATGTAGACCAGAAAGTACAAGCTGCACATCTTGCCTCACTGCACAGTGTCCTGGAGCATACACCTGCGAGTGCCACAACAGCACAGTTGTGGCAGCAGGGACAGCAGGAGAGCCAACACTGCTCCATGGACAAGCCATTCCCATACAGTGAGTGGAAAGATGAGGGGGAAGCATGTTAGACAGCCAAGGGGATCTGACCCTGAGCAAGCTCAGCTCTCATTCACAAGTAGAAACCCCTGGCATCAGCCTATTGGGACTCCTTGTACTCCAGCTTGCATGCACCTGACAGGGGAGGGAGGTCACAGCTGCTCAGCCCGGTGCATACCAGATGCCCTCTCTTTGATCAAATTACTAATGCAGCAATCACATGGGTCAGGAATAGCATATTGTTCTTTGTTCCATTCATTGCACGCCTCATAAATTCATGATAAATTTTGTAATTTCAGTTACAAAAATCACAAAGGCAGCACAGGGACAGTGTATTTAGTACATCATACATCCTGTGTGGCCATTCTCTGGAAAAGTGCATAGTAAATTCATATTTATGTACGGTAACATGTTTTTCAACATCTCTTCCCATTACAGTGGCTTTTTGTCATAAAGCTTTAACAGCCTGCTCTCAGTTTTTACAACTAGTTTTACAAAACAATAGGGAGGGGGATTTGGCAGCAGTTACTGCTCCCAGCATGGGCGGCTCCTCTTCCAGCCCTCCAACTCTCCCACTGTATTTGCTGTGATTCTTCTGTCTCCTCAAAAGCTAAGAAATTTATATTGGAGAGATCTCAGCTAACCATAAGACATAACAACCTGACCTAATACAGAAAATGTATTTGTTCATTCCAGAGTAACAGGTATGAAACAGCAGCCCTGTGTCAAAGTCCATGGTCTGAGAAAGGTTTCCACTTGTGAGGGGTCTGATGGCACAGTTGATTGGGTGCTGCATCCCTGGCCAGAGGAGGGATGGGGTGACGTGGCCAGTGCTCAGTTTCAGCTCCCAGCCACTGCAGCAGGAGAGAGCTCTGGGACCCCATCAGTGGTGCAGATGAAGAAGACAGAACATCAGGACCATCACTGACTCATAACTGTGGCTGCTTGCGGAGCCAAGGGTTACATCCAAGCCAAACTGAATATGTCCCTTATTTCTTGTTTGTAAATGAGCAAGTTAAAAACTATGGAGTTTTGGGCACTGGTCTTGACAGCATAGGTGAGAGCAGGAATCACCCCTTGCTGCCAGGACCAAGAGAAGAATTAACCTGTTTAGCATTGAACAATATTGTTGCCAAAGCACTAAAAGAAGCTAACTGAAAAGAGTATTTGTAGAAATTATATAAATAAAATACATACATGCTTGTGTAGTGATTAGCTAACCCACTGCTGCTACAAATGAAGAAGCCAAGTGGTTATAACCAAGTCATAGCATACAAAGGCTTTCCTTCATTGGGCCTGCTACTGCCTTCTATGCTGAGTACTTACAAGTATTACCTGGTGTAGTAACTGCACACGTTCAAGACCCTCTGAGGCCAACTAATTGTAGCATAGGACAAAAGGGGAAATCCAAGGTACTCTCAGCTTTGCCAGAATGATGTAGTCCTTTCTTTAGTTCACAGAAAACTGACTGTTGCTTTTCTGTATCTATTCATGTGTCCTGCTTCTCCTGACACTGTTTCTCTTCTCACCAAATTTGTGTGCTCTGGGAAGTCTCCTTGCCACTGCTTTTACTCCAGAGGTAATTAATTTCTGTAAGCAGGCAAGCAGGAACAAATCCACGGATATATATAGGTCTTTATATTGTGATATCTGGGCCTGAATAGAACATCCTGTTGTCCTGTATCTAGCACTGAAAATCATCTTTCAGGTCCTCCTCAGACAGACTTAAACTGAAATACACCAGGAGCTCTTGCTTTTAAATTCTGGAAAATGCTCCTTCCCAAATTTATATTTGATCCTTAAGTGTATTTACCCTAGATCGGTATTAATGCTTTTTGCAATGTTATTGCATTTTAAGTTCATGTCCAGATTACATGTGGTTTCCTATTTCAAAACAGTCTACCTCAAAACTGTTACTTCTTAATTGGAAGAGGGGGAGAAGTATTCATGTAATGTAATCTATTCCCCCACGTGGGGCATTTCCCTTTATTTGCAGCTGATCTCATCTAACAATAAACTGGTTCTTTGATACATTCAGGCCCTTTGCAGAGTTATTTTACACTGTTTATCCAAGCTCTTTCATCATACAATAATTTCTCATATTGTTTTATCTTACAAAATAAATAAATTATTATTAATTGTATTTGTTGTTTGCACTGTAAGAATCTTTTGCAGAATTCAGTGCAAGGATTTGAATAGAATATTCAAACTATACACAACAGCTATATTTAGGAATTAGACATACTAATAAAGATATCCTGACCTACTGTGAGAGTCACACTCATCGTGACTCATTGATACAACTTTTCTACATTTCTAATGAAATTATTAAGTAACAAGGGCCCCGATACTTAACCTTTGCAGTAATAACATATTGTTCTTCACTGGAATTTGCCAGTGATTGATTTCTAATTAATTCGGTCATATGAGTGTGTCAGAAATGCAATATGCCTTAAAATAGTAATTTCTTTGCATAGCATTTTTCATACAGGCTTAGAGTCACATAATCCATTTGCAAAGACAAGAGGGAAAAATAAAGCACAAGAACAAAGAGTAAGAAAAACAGTATGAAACCTGGAGAGAATCACCCAGAAAATAAATGATGAGTCAAATAAGTGAACAGATGTGAGACAGTCTGGAGCTAGAGAAGAAAACACGATTTCACTGATGTCACAGATGTAGGGTGAAGTGGCTCAGAGAAAGCCAATACAATTAATGCAGGACAATTATAGCAAAGCACTGACTCAAGATCTTTTAGATGAGCAGCATCAGGTCAGTAATAAGGTTTAAGCTTAAGAAAGGCACCTTTTAACTCAGATCCTAAATGAGCTTTATATTTACTTGAATAGAACCATATAGGACTATTTCCAGAAACTAATCACTTACAATGCGACATATGGACATATATATACAATATATCCATTTGGTTACTAAAGATAGAGAATGGTTTAGGTTGGAAGGGACCTTAAAACTGATCTGGTTTCAACCCTCTGTCATGGGCAGGGACACCTTCCACTAGACCAGGTTGCTCAAAGTCACATCCAACCTGGCCTTGAACATTTCTAGGGACAGGGCATTCACAACTTCCCTGGGCAATCTGTTCCAGTGCTTCATCACCCTCACAGTAATGAATTTCTTCCTAACATCTAATCTAAACTTCTTCTCTCTTAGTTTGAATCCATCCCCCCTTTCCTGTTGCTATAGTTCCTGACAAAGAGTCCCTCTGTCTTCCCTGTAGGCCCTGTTCAGATACTGGAATATTGCTACGCAACCTTCTCTTCTCCAGAATGAACAGCCCAAAGTTTCTCAGCCTGTCTTCATAAGGGAGATGCAGCAGTCCTCTTATCAACTTCATTGCCCTCCTCTGGACTTGCTCCAACAGTTCCATGACTTTCTTATATTTGGGACGCCAGAGCTGGATGCAGTGCTCCAGGTAGGGTCTCACAAGAGCAGAGTAAAGGGGCAGAATCACCTCCCTTGACCTGCTGTCCACGCTGCTTTTGATGCAGCCCAGGATTTCACTGGCTTTATGGGCTGTGAGCTCATGTTGAGTTTTTTACCAGCTGTCACTCCTGAGTCCTTCTCTGCAAGGCTGCTCTCAATCACTTATAATAATATACCAAAAGAAAACTACTGACTTAATAATGTCAGATTTTAATAAAAACTTAGCATTTTCTAATCTTTCATCTCTTCCTAGTCTCTCATAATTCTGCTTGCTAAGGATAGCTAATTCCTGCCTCACAGTTATTGTTCATATGATCTTACAATGAAATTATTGCATATGCTACTGCTAGAACAATTTCTAACTCTCATTATAATGTCCCTTTTAAGTCTCTCATGCAAGTGCCTTTTCAGTTGAAAACTCCCATTTTTAGCAAGAAACAGTTTTTGAAACAGGCAAGCTCAGGTGTATTAAAAACAATTTTTAAAGATTGTTTGAAGTAATAACATACTTTTTACAAATAATTTTACTTAGGAAAAGGGAAAAATGAATAAACTTATTTTGATCTTATGTGGTTTATTGTGTAGATTGAAATTTGGTTCATGAAAGTTCCAATTCATGTAATGCATTTCAAAGAACACCTGCTTAATGATTTTTCAGATGTGGTTGATCTGATGGGGCTTGTTTTCAGCGTGACTTAAGCTGAGCCACAGAACAGTGAGGGTCCCCTTTTAGCACTTTGGGGTTGGACTTATTATTCCTGAGTTTTCAGTTCTTTCAAAACTCTGAAGTCTGAACCCAGTGTTTAATCCACATAAGTGTTGGGTCAGAGGCAGGTTTGACGAGGAAGGTGCCTATGGTTGGTTCGTGCAGCGACAGACAGACAGGAGCTCAGATGGAGCAAAGGAGGATAAACTGAGGGCACACTGATTTCAGTAGCCTCAGGTATCAGGTGATGCCTAGAGTAAAGAAACAACTCTCCAAAAGCAACAAAAGCACAGTGTTTCGAAGTTATTCCAAGAAAATGTTGAAGTGTGTTTTTTAAAGCCTGTACTACACAAGAACATTTCAGCCCTTACTTTCTCAGGGCATGCTTAAAAGCTGAATACAAACTCATTCCAGCCCAATGATACACAGACTGACAGTTTCAGTGGCACACTAAATCTGTGGGAAGACACTGCTGCGAAAATGAGACCAGAATTGCCCAGGACATGTATCAGTGAAGGATGACTGCTAACCTGGGAGTACTGTGTGGGCTTGTAAATGAAATTTGGGTCTGTTTCCTCACGTAAAAATAGCAACTTAAAGCAGGTAGAATTTTTGATACTAATTCTTAAGGATCATCCCAACCCAGCACTTTCAGTGCAGTCTACTTACATATTTATATGGCACCTCCAGTGAATACAGTGTAAGTTGCTGATGTGAACTGCTCTCTCGATAATAATTTTTTCCTTTTCTCTAAATTAAATGCTAATTTAAGAATTTCTCTAAATAATAATGCACTATAGCTCACCTGTAACTTCTGGGTCAGAGAATCCCTCTGTGCCTGGAGCTCTCTGGCATTTTCGATTTCTTGTTTCAATCCTTCTATTTCCTAGGGGAGAAGAAACAACCTTGCTAGCAACATATTAGCTGGCTTGGCCTCAGTGCTGATGATCTGGCTGCTGCTTCTTCTCCTGAGCAAGTCCTGAGCAATGATACCAAAACTGGCAGTTGGCTACTGCCCATCACAGCACATAAAGTTTAAGGCCTGCTCCCGATACTTCTGAATCACAGTCCCACAACTGAAGAAAACAAGCATTTTCTTTTATAAAAGTCAAGTTTTCTTTTTCCACACAAAAGATATGAAATAATTTCTTCCTGGAAAATTAAGGGTCCTTGTAATTAGAAAAACAAATTTTTACTTTAAATTATATTAGAATCCATCCTTCTCCATTTTTTCAAGAAAAAAATCCAATTTTCGAATGCGAATTTCTTATTATGTCAGGGCTGAGCTTTAAAAAATAATCTGCTTTGACCATTAATTTCCATTAAAAGAGAGTCTAAAAGAAATGGTATCTTTAATTTAGCAAGAAGAAAGTAATAAGGTATAAAAATAACAAATAAAGATGAAATAACGAACAGAAGAGAAACTGTTCTTAGCTTACTTTCAGGAGACAAGAATAGAAAGAGTTAATGAAACTAAAAGGTATCAAAACTATTAAGTACTCCTCTTCCAAAGGGCATATTCACCTCACAGAACTCCTTTTGGCAAGATTTCTTTTCAGTCAACAGCTTAGCATAATTCAAAAGTGAATGCGCAACAAAATGGGAAACATTACCAACCTGAGTCTAATCTATTCAGTGTTTTATGAGGGAGTTTGGAAAAGGCTTTGTTCCATTTTGAGTGGATATTCTGTAATGACGGTGTCTTTCCTGCATCCTCCTTGAAAACACCTAACAACCACTAAGGGAAGACTCTGCACTTCTCACTGTCCCTCCAAACATACACACCAGTGCCCACTGTGTCTGTCATGGAGTGCTCTTATACAAGGTAAATAATCCTTCATATGCAGCTGCTTCCACCTCCTTTTTCCCATCCTCTAGGACCTATGCCAGCACAGGTGTTACTCCAATTCCTTTTATTTTCTTGCTGCTGGTCCAGCCCAAGGCACATGGCACAAGAAATATCTAGTTTCAGGTTGGGGCCTTGCTAAATGTTTAAGGCAAGTGCTGATCTTACAGAATTCAGCTACATTAACAGAGCTTGAAAAACAGACTGGCTAGAGAAAAGCATTGATCTATTACTTGTTTGAAACTCTACTCTCCACTCTCAAGGAAAGCATGTTTGAAAGATTTTCCTTTCTTAGAGAATCTGGACTGCATTAGTGTGATGACTGTTCTGTGGAAACCACTTATGACTTACTTTTGCAAACAGAAATGATCGGTAAAAGCAGACAGGAAAACACGATACTTTTTTGGTTGTTATTTAGATACCCCAGGTCTATATTGTTCTGACATAATTATATAAATGAAAGAACATTAACGATTTCAAAGAAGCTGAAAAAAATGTACTCTGTATCATCAATAGGAGATAATTCAGTATTTAGCAGGCATACAAGCATAATAGCAAAAGGCTTTAGAAATGATGTAACAGTAAAACAAAAAAAAAGTTAGCAGATACCTCTTCTTTTTTCTTCAGTGTAGTCTCTAACTCCTGTATTGTCTGATTTAATTCTGTTTTATGTGTGTGGACTGCATTGGCTTGACTGCTCACACACTCTAGCTCAGTCACCTGTAAAAATAAGTAGAAGCAACACAAATAGAATTAATTTCAACATATTCAAGGTACTATTATTTATTTGCATCAATAGCTGCATTTGAAATACACCCTTAGTTCTGGGTGACTTATACTGATTAAAATGGTGAAGATGCTCTTACAAAGATAGCATAAAATTCCTTAATATATTGGTTTGTATAAAATGGTTGCTATGACTTCTTGGAAATAATAAATTTTATATGTTACAGGCCGAGAAGAACATTAATTAAAACTTACACTAATTATTGAAAATTTTAATGAAGATGCTGAATTACCATTTCAGAAACAGTAATGGCTTGGTGACTAAACACATATCTATCTGTCTAACTAACCTCTCCATCTGACACTTTTTAATGCTACACCACTTTCTAAGCCACAGCGCTCACACACTTCCTAGCAAGACAATTAACATTTCACAGCCTCACTTTCTGACTCAGCATCAACATTGTAATAGCAGATAATCAGCTACGGAGGTACAGCTGCCAGCTTTTAACTTTTGGATCCCACGGCTCAGTTACAAAGCCAACAGCTAATGTCATAATTTGGATTTATCCAGTTCCTCTGTATTAGCAGAGAGCAAGCACTCTCCATCTGCCCTTGGGTAAGTTAAGATACCTGGCACTGATATGCCCTTCCATTTTATTTTCTAATCAAAGGGATGTTAATATCCTGCCATTCACAAATAAACAGTTGTCAAAAAATAGCTTCCTCATCAAGGAAATAAAATCCATGCAGCTAGAGTTTAGCAGAAGAACTCTCATATGACATGTCTGCATGGATGTGTGCACTGAAACATTTTTCTTTAATAACAAACTGTTAAAATATTAAAAATATTATTTAAAGTCTCATAACTAATTATTTACCCTAGAAGTTATGAGCTTGTCAGTCTTATTATATAGTCTTCAATAGAGCTGCACCATGTGCCATCAAATCTGGCCCAGAAACTCCTTTAAACAAAGTGCTACCCAATACTGCAATGAAAACCTTTAAGTCTGCACTTAACTTTCTCAGAGAAGTAGCCCTTAGACTGCTTTGACAGAGGGCAGGCATTCTCCAAGACAATTTTATTTTTTAGGTAAAATAATATACTGGGGAATCAAGGCTGATGCCCTCCAGTACCAAAGTAATCTAGGTAGTGAAGCCATTTATGATGCCAGTAATTTCGAACTCTGAACTATTTGTAGGCTCAAAAAATAGATTACTGAATGAAGTCAAAGGCAACACAAGATGAAATGCAAGAAAACTAAAATCCCTATCAAACTCTCCTTTCTGAGTCACAGGGCACAAACCTCTGTAACAGCCATGCCAACTCTTCCTCTACTGGAAAGCAGTTGGTTAGACATTTTTGCACACAAATTTTATAAATGTAGAGAACTGAAATTATACCAAATTCTTGAGAGGTGTAAGGGGAATAAGGGAGTAGGAAACAGCTTGATAACATAACTCACCATTCCCCTACCCTAAAGTACTTCTTCATTTGTTGGCATTGTTCCAAAGGAAATATCAGTGCTCATGGCAAAAAGCAATAGCAGTTTCCTTAATTTTATATGCCACTGAGCATTAGAACTGAAGTCTTACATAATTTTCTCAATTTGCTTCAATAACACAAAAATATCTCTACTTAGATTCCTATAATACTGTTACAGTATTCACCACAACAATTACACAAAGAATTGGAACACACCGACGGGGACAAACCTATTTCTACAAACTGTCTGAACTAACATCTATATAGAGCAAGGATCAGAAAGGCACATAGTAATTTAGGCTGGAAGGGGACTCTGGTGGTCATCTGCTTGAGGCATCTTGCTCAAAACAGGGCCAATTTTGAGGTCACATTTGGTTCAGGATCTTGCCCAGTCAAGAACCCTTTACTATCCAGCAGAGATGCTACAATTCTGACACTGTGGGTTTATGAGGAGCTCCTTCCTAAGTTTTACTGGGACTGTCAAATTCATTGACCTCTTTCACCTTCACCCCTTCTGATGTTTAACTTCTTAAACATTTCCAAGCTTTTCTGCTGAGATGTTGAATGGTAACCTTCAAGAAGACAATCTCTCTTTTAAAGCTCAGTTGCTGTTGCACTCAGCAAGACCCATTGGCTCTAATGGGCCAAGTGTTAGAACAGTGAATGTTCACTTACATGCAGTGTAAGAACCTCAACTGGAAAGACAGAAGTAGGCCTAGTCTGCAAATGACCTCTGTCCTAGAACCCTGTGCCTTGGAAGCAAGTGTGCAGAGGTCTCTCATCCCATGACTAATGAAGAACTTGGACTCCCACTGTTCTCCACGGGGTTTCTTCTTGGCTACTACACACCAAGACCAATGTATGTGTTGGTGCAAGCTTGGAATTCAAGGAGGCAGTTGGATTGAACTGCGGTGAATGAAATGTTACTGCTCCAGGCTGCATCTATTATTGCTGGCTAAAAACACCTTCTGCAGCAACCCTGCCAGATGCACAGCTCTCGTGAATGCTCCTGAGAACACTCTGGTCCATACTAACTCAACACACTTACTGAAATTGCTTAAGCAAACACTATTGATTACTTTTAAGAAATTAGCAAGGAGTGCTCTCACAAACCTTCTTGCAAGCAGAGGCAATTGCTCCCAGAGGGACAATCAATTACAGCACTAAAAGGCTGTGATGTTTTACTGTAGTCCAGCTGTTCTCTGCGCAAACATACATCTCTTACTGCTTATGCAAGAAAAAAATGTTCAACTGTTTTGTTTACTATTCCTTGAAAAATCAGTAAGATGGGAAAAAGAGGACAAACTCAATTAAGAAACTGGGTTCCTTAATTAGTCTTATTTAAAAGCCCATTCCTATAGAGATCTGAAAAGATGTCAAGTTATCCTCACCATGTTATCTTGTACTTATAAATGTATGTATAAAAAAGAAAGGCACATTGTGACCCTTTCAAAAAGATTTGTAGAGTAAGAAGGGCTGGAAAATGATGTGATATAAAGAATATGCTACTGAAAACACAAGTTACAAAAGATAAAGCTCTAGGCAAAAATCTGGATAGCATTTACTTACTCTGTCTCCTTGTTCCAAATGGAATTTAATTTCCTCATGACTAGTGGTCCAAAAATCATTACAAGTAACCATTTATGCATTATGCACAGAAGGGGGTATAAGAGTAAGTTAAAATGATTTAGTCTGACCCTCCCACATGTTGTTTTCATTGACACCTCCTCATTCAGTGTTTCATGTTTAAGAGCAAGGCTCAATCAATCATTCAAACCCTTGCACAGCAGTATCGAGCAATGTACCTGTGATTATGTCTTGTTTTCAGTACAGAATTCAGACTGAAAGAACAGTCTTTGAACAATAACTGACTAACAAGATTCTTTTATTGTGCTATCATAAGACTGTATTGACTTGCATATCTAAGAAAGGTAATACTGTGGCTTTGCATTTGATACCAAAAAAGAAAAAAGGGTACTGTTCTTAGTCTCTGTTTCTTTGTTTTGTATTTATCATCCACGTAAAGACTGCATGTATGGAAAAAATTCTGTAAGGGCTTTTTAGTGACTATTTAGTGTGCAAAATTCTCTAGTACAAGGGATGGCATTATACTTAACTGCGTATTTCAGTGAGAAATACATCAACTGAACTAGGACAGCAAGGCAACCTTCCTAGTAAAGGCCATTCTAGAGTTTTCTGGAAACTTTAATCTAGGGTCAACATCCTATACATGCAGGAGGATTCCAGGTAGAGGTTTTCATTGCAGCAGAGAGCTAGTACACACTGGGCTGCTGGGAGGACTGGAGGAATGAGGCTTTGGGTCACAGAACACAACAAGGAGTAACAGCTTTGATGTGAGCTTAAGACAGTGACTGCCCAAAGCTTCAGAAGACTAAAAAATCTCTCAAAACAAACCCAAACACAGAAAACCTAATAACCAACCTAAACCTGGCACAACTTGAGGTTATTTTCTCTTGTCCTATTGCTTGTTACTTGGGACAAGAGACCGATCCACACCTGGCATCAACCTCATCTGTGATAGGTTGTCATAGTTCCAATTTTAGTACGGAATTTTTCTTTCCCTTCCCCCTGCCATGTGTGCCCTGTGTATAGGCCATTAGGCTATCAGGTGAACAAAAGAATGGCCGAGAGATCAGTCTCCTAGGAAACAGGCAGATGAAGGATCTAAAGGCTACTTTTTTCTCTTGTCTCTGGGGGCAACGGGGGAGGAGGAATTCTGGTGGGTTGGGGGTGTGGCTGGCACGTAGGTTGGGAGGAGAGGCTGGTGTGCCGGTGGGCTCGGGACCTGCTGCGAGCTGCAGACACTGCCTGGTTTTTTTTTTCCTGTCAGAGGGGAGTTTGCTGCTGCTCTCTGCTGAGCTGTTGCTGGCTGCAGGCCCTGCTTAAAGCGAACTCTAACCAGCTGAAGATCATGAGTTTTCTTCCATTGGGAGAAATTTCTGTTTGATTGTTGTTTTTTCCCTTCCTTTCCCTTCCCCCTCCCCCCCCCACTCCCTCTCTCCTGTCCCAGTGTGGGAAGGGAAGGGGAACCAAGGGGTATTTTTGTTGTTGTTTTTTTTACTGGACATTACAAGTTCTGCACCTCCAGTGATTCAACAGCGCCACCTGGTGGCTACTATAGGACACTACAAGTTTTGCATCTCTAGTGACCCAACAACGCCTCCTATTGACTGTGGTTGGAATTGCACCAAGGGGCGCAAAAATTGAACTGTTTACTCTTCCTTTTGCTGGTTTATCAGTTTGTTCTTGAAGGGGATTATTGGTGGATATAGGAGTATTGCTTGGTTGTTTTACTTGGGGTTTTTTCTGTGTTTCTGTTAATACACACATACCTTTTAATAAAGGGCTGTTATTTTCCCTTTTCCATAATTTGTTTTCCTTCAATCGGAGCCTCTTAATTTTGGATTTATAATTGCTTAGAAAGAGAAGTTTGGGTCTTTTCTCCTAACTCATCCTCAGCAAAAGACCCTTGTCTCATCTAAACTGG